GTTCATTCGTGATATTGGTTCGCATGGAACTCTTCCCCTCGACGATAACTTCTGATGGTTATTCAACAGTCATTTGTGGGTAGTTATCGAGTGCTTTGCAGCTTGTTTGCCTGAGTTGGCATTGTTGTTTTTGCTTTAGTCTGATGATTCGTCTCCAATGTCGCCCTTGCCTTTCAATGACGACAATCTTACTTCGTCCACATTGCCTACCTCATCGCCAACATTTACAGACGTCACCCGTGCCAATGGTGCCTACATTTTCGGTGTTGCTGCAACTCACTCCTGGCAGCAGCAAGTGGCAGAATTGAAGTACCGACTTCGAATAGAACGCGCTGTGTACGAGGGTGCTGGAAAGGTTCTTAACGCCTTCACGGGACCACAAAAAGGTGCCGAAAAGACAACCAAATTAAAGGTAACAATTCATCGGACATTTAACGTAACGCACTGAATCATTGGCTGTCGATGACACCCGTATATAGGATATAGGATTTGAGTAAGCAGTGAAACGTTCTGCTCCTTTAAAATTCGCAGATTTACGGGAGTTTCCGAGAGCCCAAGTCGAGTAGTATTTCAGAGAAAAAGGCATTGGTAAGCGTACCCTCTCGAACTCGCGCTCTCTCTCACCATTGCTAACTGGGCAGGTACGCGTTTAGTTTGGCATCGCGCTTTTAGTTGAGTCTAATGCTTTGTTTAAATCTTTTTCTTTGCTAGTAGATAGTGCTTTATCCCTTTCGCATTATTGGCACTCTGGCCGCCGTGTATCATTCCATTGGGGCCTGTGAAATGTGATGATTCCAGTTTATCGTTCTCTGTGTGCCGATGTCTTGATGACAATAAATTCTCAATGATGCTTAAATTTGTCCAAATGGATTGTTTAACCAACTAGGTGAAGATAAATATTGCGTCATGTCTTGTCCCCCCCCCCCCCGAAAATGGATTGGTAGATAGCGTTCCCTTGCGCATGCATCCGGTGGTGTATGCCCGTATGGTTTCCAGGCTTGGATGTTGACATGCACATAGCTTTGTGCATAGATGGTGGGATGAAAAGATTGCAGGACCAATGTGGCAACCCTGGCTAATACGCATGTCCCCGCTTTCTGCCGGCCATTGCAAGGAGTTTGAGTTGGGGACTGAGTGCGTTGCCTTCTTTTGCTTCTATTTCTTACCAACTGAATCCAACGCTTTCACAGATCCCGCGCTTCTATCCTGCTTCCGCTTTCAATTCATTCTCATATCTGGAGTCGGTGAATACCTGTTTAAGTCTAATCCACAAATGCTCACCCAGCGCACATGATGCCAGCTTCACTGGTGTCCTTTTAATAAAATTTTCCATTAGTGTTATATTACGTTCTTTACTTTAACCTGCCTTAAGTTGGCGCACCTCTGACATTGCCAATTGAATCAAGCTGTTGAATTGTTTATCATCCAGGCATACCGTCGCGTTCGCGAATACTTCCAAGAGCTCTACTTGCTGCAGCTGTCGATGCAGAACCTTGTCTCCGTTCCACCAGTAGTGGATAATCAGGAAGATGATCCAGACCTCGCGGCGGCCTTTGCAGAGGCCATCAATGATCCAGAGATTCAACATCTACTTGAACATCCGGATAACAGGCCGGGAAGTGTTTCGCTGCCGGGGAGCGAGGGTCACGTGGGAACGAGGAAGCATTCTATTTCCTCGTTGGCGTCACCCGCAATCACCGCAGTTACTGGCCTTCTGAAGGTTTGCTGCATTGGCTGTGAGGGGTTGTTGGATGTCTTCCCGGCAGCACTTTTTTCCCCAGGAGGAGGTTCAGTTGGCTCGCGTGCCAAACCTGCTCTCATCGATTCGCCCGCAGAATTCTCGGCAAAATTCGAGGATAGACCCGGTGAGACATGAAAGCCTTGTCTTCATCTGCTCCTGTGGCATTTAACCTATTCATGGGGCAGTTATTTTCGCTTCGTCCTTGCAGAGATTGTAAACTTCCTGGATAAAATGGACTAGAAAATGATACTATTCGCTGAAATTTTGTGATTGCGCTTGGTTCTATGTAGTACTGAAGGTGCATCGATGAGAGGCGGTCCACCTTAGTGAAATGGTCAAAAAGCAGAAGGCATCGACCACTATGCCCAATTTGCTATGGGTAGTAGTAGTAATAGTGGTAGTGGTGACGGGGCTCAGGTTCTCACATACATGCGTTCATACACTAGCGTTTACACCACTATCCCTCGCGCTTTTGTGCGCCTTTGTGTGTATCACATTTGTATGACTTTCTTTAATCTAGTTCACTGACTATGAGAGGTGCTGAACTCTGCCAACAACCTGGTCAATTACACTTCTCTTTTCACTTCCTTGACTGTGTTGTGTGTTCTTGTCATGGGGAATGGTCTTAATTTCGTGGCAAGGTGGACTATGGTATTACTAGTGGATGAATTCCTAGTTTCAAGATGGGTTTGAGTTTGCACAGTCGCTTTTGTGTGCGTTTGGCGGGTGGAAATGTTGCCTTCTTTTCGTATAAATGCACGCGTTTTCTGTGGCGAGTCATAATCCGCGCCATCAATGGCTCTTCTTTGGCTGGCTAGCTGGTTAGCAAACGCCTTTTGCCCTCATTTGTGGGTTTGTGAGTGTGTGTAAGGTATTGTTGTATGCAAATTCGCGGAAGCTAATTTCGCAAGCAATACTTCCTCACGCCTTCCTGCTTCCCTGCCCACCCACTTACCACTCAAGTCATATCTAGTTATCTAGCTACAAGCCTCTTCCGAGGCAGGTGGCCGACTCTCAGATGTCCTGGCTAACTTCACTCAGTTTACCATGCTTGAACTTATTTATAAGGCATCTAAACCTAGACAAACTTGGCCCACTGTTTTTCATATCCATTTGCCGACCACCAAGATGGTTTATTTCATCTTTCTTGGCATCCGTTTTTTTTTCAAAACTTTTGAGTGCTCTACTTCAAGTCAGCAGTGCCTCGGCAGTTGTTCCTTAGACGACCTGTTATTTGATACCCGTTGGCGGCGTCGTCCATCAATGTATCTACACTGTCTAGTTATCAATGATAAATGCTTCCTCCTCTTTCTGGACCTCAAGTACTCGTATTTTCAGACGTTCGAGTTAAAAGGTCGGTTAATCGACACATGTTATTTGTTTGTTTTTACCTTTAAGGGATGCTATTCATTAGTATTGGGCGTCTGAAAACTGATTCAAGCTGGCCGGATAGTAGTAACTTGACGTTTGTGATATTAATTCCCGTGAATAGCATGAATTTGGTGCTTTAGTCGCGATCATCGTGCATTTAATCTCTGTTTATTACTGCACACTACTGGTGCGGTTAGTCAGTAAATACTACTTACCTTTATCTGGGCAGTCGAAATCTTCGACATGATGTTTGCCTTTCTGCCTCCCTAAATATGTGCAAGCGGGAGAGTGTGGAAGATTCACCTGGTCCGCAAGTTTGTTTACCTTTCCTCTCGATACGATCAGATTGATAAATGCGTTCTCTCTGCTTGACCTGAACGTCCTGTACTGATGTAATTAACTCCGCTTACTTCTTTTAACGTAGCCGCCCGAGCTTTCTACTTCAAGCTTTTAATTTTTACATGGTAATAGTACAATTGCACCTGTTAATTTGAACGCTGGAAAAGGTGGAGTTGAGGTGACAGGTATTGGATGAGTAGTGCTTTGCCAGAAAGACCATACCGCGTGAAAGTGTGACAGTTGTCAGTGCCAACTGCAAGAGGTCACGCTTGCTTTCCCAGGCTCCTTTTGATGCCTCTTATTGCACATTATTACCAGAAACCGGAGATAACAGTTTTAATTCTGGTAAATGAACTACCCCCATTTTTTTAGTTTGGGTAGGTGTAGATCAGTCTCTGCAAAGAGGTGATGTGATGTTTGAGCCATTGTTGAGGACACAGTAAAGTTGTGGTGATTGTGCTTTTTGAATGACTGGGAGGCTGTAAGCATGATGAAGGACATGGGATCGAATGAGGGGTCGGAGCCATAGAGGCTGATCAGCTTGGGTAGTTGTGTAATTCAAATAGATACGGTTCTGTTACAATTTTGCCGTAACTTAACCGTGCTATTCACTGCTTAAATCTACCTCCACCTGATCATGTGACAACGTGGAAACAAATGCTATGGCATGAGTATAAGTGCTGACGATTATGAAAGCGTTGTGAGGATATCATATCTGCTCAGTGGATGTCACATTTCATTTAGAGATGGTTGACTTGCACTATTCTTCTCCACCTTGTTAAACTCGACTCCTCATGTAGCAGCCTTCATTATTTTGACAGGTTCTTAAAGGTTTTGTTCAGTGAATGACTGAAATTGAGTCAAACTTTCGAACTTTAGTGTTCAAAATGCTCCTGGTGTGGTAAGTCTTTTGAAGTCACTGTTAATGTGTTAGTAGACAATAGCAGTTTATTCCTACATCTCTCAGTTTTTGCTCTTAGCGGTTTTCAGTTCCAGTCCTAAGCGTTCTCGCTCAATTGACTCCTTCCTGAATTTGGGTCCGATAAACTCTGTGATTGCCTTCAGAGCGTGATTCTATTTGACGGGTATACGGGACCGTGAACGCAGAATCCGACTCATTTTTGTTCTTCATGGGGGGCGGTCTTGACGCCTTCAATTTGCATTCTTTGATTTTGTTCCACCGTGGCGCCAAGTAAGGCGCAGTTTCCTACCTGTCCTCATGTGATTTTTTTGACGCGGGCACTTTTTGTACGGGGATCGTTTTGGTCTTACCATCGCTTTGTCCGGCTCGAAAGGTCACGCAGCTGCGGCCATTCTCTTGGTGGTTTTCATGTCGCTGGTCCGTGTTCTTTCGCCTGAAAAATGCCTGGTGTGTGAGTCACTGATTTCCTCCAGGTTGCACACTCGGTCTGGCTGACTCAGCCGACCGCATGGAGCACTGGTGTTTGGACGACCGTCCTTGCACCTCTGAAACAGTTGTGGAGGTGGCTCGTTCTCCAATCATTATTTGCCCACCTTATATAGGCCTTGTGTCTATTGTGCAGAAGGCCAGCTGCGTTAATTTTGATAACTGGGTAAGAGAACGTGGTTGGATGGAAATTGTGTGAAGCCTGTTTATCTTGGGTTCACATCTGCATGTTCATTGACGTTATTGTGTGAGTAGCTGTATTTTTATGCACATTTTTTCTACTTATTGAAAAGGCACCAAGTTGTTTTCTCTCAGGCCTCACCTGACTGGTGTGGAGTCAGTCAGTTGCCTGGGCTTATTTCCGCATACTAGAATCTGCGTCATGCTACTTCTTCCCTCGATAATCTCACGCAACAACGGCGGTAGATGTCTTGGGAAGATCATTTCATTGGCGTTGTTTTTTGTACTTTTAGAGTTCGAATTCATGCTTAACTGATAGAGCGGAAGGCTTTGTGCATGTGTTTGTTAATTTTAACACATCATATGGGAATGCTAATTTGGTTTGTCGTCTTTCCGAGGGTCCGTTAACACCGATCCTGTGCATTAGTTTATGACTTAACTTGCCATCTGTGAAGACTTGTCGAATGCCCTGACTCATGAATAAAATTTGAAGTGGTGCTGGATGTACCCATAACCCCAGCTATTGTGAGGCTACCATTCTACTTTCTGTTCTACTTAGTCGGTATCCGCAAATCTAGTATTTTCAAAACAGTTAGTCATACTACACTAAAATTCAGGCGATCGTTGCTTCCACTATTTCAACATACCAAGTAGTAAGCCTCGAAACATTTTCATCAATATCTTTTCCACTAAAATGGTGCGGAAATATGAAAAGCAAAGCTACATTGAAAAGCATCTTACTAGCTCAGGGCGTTGTTTGTCCGTGCGCAGGTGGTGCTTTTCTTCATGATATTGTTTTCGCTTTCTATCATCTCTACCTGTTTTTAACATGCAGTTTAAATCTAATCGGGGTCTTTGCACCTGTCATTTTACTGGAATAGAATAGGCGAGATCTCGAGAATTGGACAGTACGTCCATTTTTCTACCCGCTTCTGCGTTACATTTACACACTCATCATAACATTTAACTGATACCTGGAAAATTATGGCATAAAATTGACTGTACGAATGAACCCTTCTTGAACAGCCTACTTTGCAACTTTACAGTTGTGAAAAGCGGTTCTGCTCTCCAGTCTGCGCCAACTTTTTGAAATTGTTTGTAATTGTGTTCACTGTTCTCACAAAACTTTGTTAAATAGTCACAAGAATGAATGTTGAATTTTGGACCTGGAACAATTGTGGAAGCGATCTTAACTTTCTGGCAGAGGCGCGGACGTCTTCGAGTAGTTTGTGCTCTGAAGTGAAGTATCCTTCTCCTGAACGTCATCCCTGTTACCTTATTGTACTTGAAGTTTTGTGTTGGAACAGATATCCCAAGATATTATATCTTCATTTTCCATAGGCTGTTGCATGCACGTCTGGATTGGATTATCTCATGATATGTGCCGACTGCTAGTACAAGTCCCTATTTTCTGAGACCTAGGTAAAATACCGTTCATTTAATTAGTGAAGTGGCTACCAAACGCAACCTATCTATTTTCTCCTTCAGCGGATGTGAGCTGCTTCCTGAAGGTTGACAACAGCGACAAATCATGGCACACTTCGTGGCGATCACCGTCTTCCAATTGTTGGAACACTGAGTTTTCTTTGAACGTCTCACAGGCGCGCGAGTTGTGGATCCAGGTCTTTTGGAGGCGTGTCTATCCCATTGGCGCCGCGTTTGTCAATCCCAGCGATGGTAGTTGCGCCAGCGGTGGAAACAATGGGAAGAGTACTGATGATTCTGACTGGACTCTTGCTGCTGTGCAGTAAGTCGTTTTTCTGGCCGTGCGTCTCATCAACCTATATGTATTTGTATTCATCCGTGCGCTCTCATTTCATTCTTTTATTTTTTGTCAGCTCATCAGTCTCTGATTCACTCACCAATCATCCCTTATCCATTCATTCATCGTGAATTTACCTATCTCTGTTCACCGGTGATCTCTTTATTCTTCGTCTTTCCATGCACCTGTCCGTCCATTAAAAAAGCTTTGATCAATTCGTCTATCAATGGGTCTCCTATCCATCCATTTATCCACCACCACCTCTGAATATTCCTCACAGAACATCTGAGAGCTTCGATATCTAAATTTCACTCATCTGTCCTAGTCCAGCTATCTCATCCATTTGCTTGTTGACACATACACCCTTTGGTCCGTCATTCGATTAAGTCTAATTTCAACGAGTTTTTCTGTTTAGATGGTCCAGATTTGATGAGTATTTTCCGCTTAGGGATGCAAAATTCATCCTTCTACTTCCAATCCAGTTGTCAATATAATTCACTCATTTATCCACTTGTTTATTACTTGCTCACCCATGCATGCATGCATCCATCCATCATCCATCTTTCATTGTATCTGATTCGCCCATCTCGTGTCATATGCCCTTTCACCTGACCATGCATCTAACTCTAACCAGACTTCAATTACTTCTTTTTGTATAGGCAATATGGATCTGGTTCTTATTAGGCCTAGGATTTATAAACCTGTGCTTGATCCATTCATTTATCAATTCATAACTATATTATCGCTAATTTCTTCCCTATCTGAACATCTATTCACGATCCGCCCATCTATCACAGGTGAGTAACAGAGTTTTGGTTTCATTGCTTGACAGATTTGTGCGTCTACAGGACTTGCTGGACACCAAGCCTAAACTGCGTCTTCCAATGTTGCCCCAGGGTTATGTCAACCTGCAACTCACTTTCACCGACCCACTAATGCAAGCACCCCGTGGATTGAAGCGACAACGGCGTATCTCTCGACATAAGGGTTAGTTCAAACTGTTGTTCTTTATCGAAAACATGCATATCTTGACTCCTGCTGTCTGGGTTAGAACTTATTTGCTGTATCACACTGGTGAGTTGAATTGGTATTTTTGAAGGCGTGCGAAATGTTCTTCTCGGATGTAAAGGCAAGAGCTTACAGCGCTCACTTGAAGTGGTGGAAATGATGTGATTTCATAAATCAGTTTAGCATACCACAAAGGTAACCATTTCTTTAGAACACGGTTAAATTTACTAGCTTATTTTTCTAGTCACGTTGCATCCATTTAACTATTGGGGCTTTCAAAATGTGATTTTTGGAGGATTCGATTTTCTGAAAAGAAGATGTAGTATTCTTTAAGCTGATTTCTCCACTTGACCATTCCAGGTGTGCTTCTAAATCATCTCCGTTGCAAACACTTTTCTCACGATTACATTGAAAGATATAGTCCTTTATTCCTATATAATTACAATATTTAGCACGGGCGAGAGGTGGTTGCCTCAATTCACCACTTGACCAACAAAGCAAAGGCTGTGAAATTTTCCACTACTTTGTGTATTCGCCCGTGATTTTACACGAATGTGAAAAGTTCCTCGTTTCTGGCGTCAACTTTTCTCCTTCTGTCAACGTCTCTTTACTTCTGTGTATTTCACAGCTACTCGAAATAGGATCTTCTGTTGGTGCGTTATCTTTTGAGTGGGCGACAAATATCTATCATGAGGCGGCTTAAGTAAGGTTAACGGGTACTCTCATTCAAAATGCCAGCATAAAATTGCATCCCCTGTGTTATTGGAAATTGTTGTCCTAGTCGCTACTTTGTGAACTTTGAATCTGCTTATCTGTCCAATTTTGTTTGTGTGTTCTAGAGTGAAATTTAAAAGACAAGCTCTTGGCAGTTTGGCAAGCGCCTCCGATTCTGGTCGCATTTCGTGTGCCTTAAGGGTGAATTGTGAATTTGGTGATTTGTGTATTTGCACGACTTCGGTTAATAATACTGTGAACGGAAGGTAAAATGAATACCAGGCTGTACCAAGGTGATGTATTTGCATAATTAACGTATTCACACTCCTAACACGGTCGCTTTGCCATATTTCATTGCTCATGAATGTGGATACTTAGTGGCAATAGCGGCGCCTGCTCATGGGGTAAATTGTTTTGAAATCATGTAACAGAAAGTTTGCAAGGGGAGTGCATAGGCGACATTTACTTTTCTGCCATACGCATAAGGAATTGTTTTGTCTCCCACCAGCTTTTACTACCCTCTCTGTATCCATCCCCAGTTCCTGATCCTCCTCCTCTCGATTGTGGTATGAACGCTGCACCCTGGGACTGCCTAAAACTGCCCATCAAGAGTAACTCAATGGAGAAACTGATTGTACATGAGTCAAAGGTTACTCTCACGTCCTGTTGAAGGCTTGTTTGCGTTTGCGTTTTGTTCCCCTTTCAGTTCCGTCCTCTTGTTGGTCTTCCTATGCAGATAACATTTCGTCTAGATTAGGTTACCTCGAGACAGTGGAATCCTTTCCGCGGAGGCTATGCTGCACAGATGGCTGCGAAAGCATATTTCCAGCCTATTTTACAGTACGCCACTTTGTCGAGTGCTTGCCTGGTTTGATTGAAGTGGAGGAAAAGCTCTACTATGCTACTCCTTGTTTTCACAGTTCGGAACCTGCCACGTATCACAGAGTCCAACACCTCGGTGCAGCAATGGGTGCGGGCGCGTTTCGGTTGTCGTTCAACGACCCCGCAGCCCACTGCCACGACCGTCTCGGGGTTTACAGTTCCGACAGCGGTGGCCACGACTACCGCCGCATCCCCGACCACGATCGAGATGAACGGCGGTCCCGTGCGCGCTCATGTGGCCAATGCGGAGAGGGAAGGCCGCTACACCAAAGCCACTTCTCCCGTCTGTGATAGTCGTTCGCGCAACAAGACTTCCACTTTTTCATCTACACCTCAAGTAAGCTGTTTACGCATGCGTATTTCTCTAATGTTTGCTTTTTTGCCTTTTTTGTTTTCGCCCCTTTTTTCAACTATCCACAGTAGATTTTTGTTCTTTATGCTAGTTTAAGTGAGAGAAGCGCACACACTAGCTTCATTGAAGTTGCTTTTCTAATCATAGTAACCGGCTAATTTCACAGTCAAGATATCAGACAGAAGTTAGACAGCCTAGACCGCTGGATCTTGTTTTTGACAGAAAAGTAACTTTTGTGGCAATAACACGCACACACAGGATCGCCTGACCTTTTCATCACCGATGTCTTTTATTACGTGGGTGGGGTGATTGCTGCTGATGGAGGAAGAAATTTATGCACGGGCAAACATTCACGTATCCAGTAGACAGGTTTTAGTGGCTTGTGTAGCTTTCTTTTGGTCGTTCTCTACCAAATCAGCTTTTTGACTCTCTATGATCCTGATTGTTCTATTTCCATGTCCACTCACTTGGTAAGTGATATGGCGTTTTCATTGCGTTCGGTATCAACCTTGCAGTCAACCATGGGTTCGTGGATTCGACGATCTTTTATGGGCCTTAATAAGAGTCGACTAAGGAAACAAGTACGTACCACCTCCCTTCTCTCTTAACCTTTTTCTACCTACTATCATCCTAACATCCCCAAATCTGTCCACACACATAATCATGTACACCAAATTTCCTTTCCCCTTCTTTGCCGATAATTCACCAGTATAGAAGACAAAGGTTGTGGGAGTAAATGCATGCACTTCAGTGATTCATTCGTTCATTCATTATTCAGTCATTCATCCATCCATCCATCTCTCCATTCATTTGTTTGATAAGATGGAAGGAGGAAAAAACGACATCTTGGACCCTCTTTTATTTTCCCGTTTGCACCACTCAGCCAATTAGTCAGCATAGCCCTTGATTATGTGATAAGAAAAAACTATGCTTGGATCTCTTCAGAAGTTTCTGTTTGTAGAATCCTTTTTGTTATTGAAGTAAAGTAAGGCTCTCACCTGCTTGGTCATTGCTGAGGTTGTCACGATCATTTTATCATCTTAGTGCAGAGAAAGGTGGCATGAAGGGTAGGCATGTGGGCGTTCATGGTTAACACACATTGTCTTCCGTGACATAGAGGTGGGATTCCCAAAAATACGGTACCGTTTCATCCAACCTCCCATCGACACCAGCGTCACCACAGAAGAATTTGGCTCAACGGATCTATGTTAACATTCGTAATAAGGCTGGGTAGGTGTTCTCTCCATAGGCTTGCTTTCCTCTCACCTAATCCGTCTAGGCAGCATTCAGTCCGTCCGCTTTGGCAATAGCATCTTGTTTCATCCGTCCTCATTCTCTCTCCTTTTCTTTGAAAGCCGTTTCCGTTTTGATGACGAGAACTGATACCGCCGGTGTAGGCAAGATTTATTTAGTCGCAATTTCGTTTGCATAATCATTTCACTAGACTTCGATATTTCGTTTCAAATATCTCATAAGGGTGTTTGTGCTAGTTTTTTTTCCACCTGCGCCTAATTGTACCCCTTTTTATTGTAAATTTAATGCGCAAATAATGCGAGTTTGGCGCAGTGACCAATGGTGAGTGTGTTGTTGATGTATGCAAAAGAGTATGTGTGTGTGTGTGGAGGGCAGGCTTGTATGAAACGAAGTAGCCTTAATACGAGAAAGGCTGAATCTCATGTGCTAGTCAATTGCATGATATTGTGTAAGTCTCTTCACTATTTGCATACTACTTTTGTTTTCATCCAAACCGCTCATTTGGTCTGTGACCATGTTTTTTGCTTTCCATTTTCTCGTTCCAATTCTGCAATGCTTGGCACAGGGATGATTAAATTCCCCTTGTGTGTGTGCTTATCTCACTGCTTTTTTTCCCATCTGGCTCATGGCGTCGGCTGCGTTCAAACGATTCGATCTGGACTGTGCTTTACATAGAATGTAGTTGGTATGCAGGAGAATTTGGCATTTTGCAAAGCTTTCGGTTCATCTTTTTACCCCTCTGCTACAGATAATCGCCTTCCCTACCTTTCGAAGGCGATGTCTACTGTGGTGACTTGTTTTCCTGTGCAGAAATAGTAGGCATTCTTTCTCTGTGCACCGTAACCACCGTGAAATTCTCACACTTTCCTTTGTTATATGTCTCTCCTCATTCGAGTTTACTAACCGCTTAGACTGCAATCTAACCTAGTAGGCACAGCCTCTCTAGCACGTCAATTGAATTTAATCTATATGCCACACAAGCTATTCGCCTCTCTCCCTCTCGACCCCGCGTTTCTTCTTCAGTCATCCTCCACGAGCGATCTCGTAGACACATCCACGAAATCCGCCACCACACCGGCTAATACGAAGTCGTTGCCTCCATCTTCTTCTGTTGCCGTCGGTACCGACAGCAAACCACCCACTGGAAAACCGCCCTCCGTTGTGGACTACGGCGGTGAGGGTGACTATGACGACTACGATGTATTTACTGCGCCTGATGAGACCTTCTGCATGCGGCAGAAGCGGCCTCTGGAGATTCCTCTTACCGCAGATGCTGGTAGTGGTGACTACGCCAACCAGGAGCTGGTGGAAGCTGATGCCCAAAAACACGTGACGCCTGATCAGGCGGCAATGGATGGGGACGTAAAACCGCCCCTCAGAAGCGAATCCTTCGGCTCAGACTACGAGGAACCCACCATTCCACCTCAACACACTGGTAGGGTCGTCTGTCCTTTCATTACCATCCTATATCTTATTCCATCGTTAGTTTCATGTCGTGTCAACAACACTCTGCCTTGGCATGATTACTGCGCCTCCTCTTTTTTCCCTCCAGTTATATAATTAGAGGTGATGTCCTCTCTAATTGATGTAGGAGATTGTTTTTTTTTTACTTCAGTAGTGTAATTGCCTCCCCTCCCATTGGCTGGAAAAGTGCCCCTATGCGTGTGTGTGTTTGTCTAAATGTAACAATCACGGTGCCAATTGAATTCGATATTTGCAAATCCACTGTAATTCAGCCCGCCAGTTAATAGAGCAAAGTTAAGGCAACCAATTTTGGTTTGCCGAAAATATACCGCTGGAGGTTCTTCCATACTCCTGCACTCTTGCTCACTTTGGCTGTTGCTTTGTCGTCTTGATTAAGAGAGCTTTAGCTGAACTAACTTCCCATGTGCACCGACAGCTGTCACAGTCTCATGCTTTGTCAGGAACGTGCAATTACAAGTCCCCTGTTTCCGTTGATATTATCATCCACACCTCGTAAATGATTCAAGTGTTAATCGGGTTTAAAATCTTTTGCACGTTTGCAATAACCCATCAATCAAGCTGTGGAATGAATAAATCGTCGAGTTCTACCATTCTTTCCTCCCAGTTGTTCCGACTGAAGCCCTATCCCTGGATGACTTCCGTTTTGTTGCTGTACTGGGTCGAGGGCACTTTGGCAAGGTGTTGTTGGCGGAGTCACAAAAAACGAAAAAATACTACGCTTTGAAAACCCTCAAGAAGGCTGAAATCCTCTTTCGTAATGAGATTGACAGTCTCATCTCGGAGAAGCGCATCTTTCAGACCATAACTGAGGCCAAACATCCATTCCTCGTCAACTTGGTCGCATGCTTCCAATCGCCGGTGAGTTTTCAAGTGCTGGTTGTCAACTACCACGCATAACTCGTCACATCTCGTTACTTTGTGCAGGAGCATGTGGTATTCGTGATGGACTACGCTCCAGGTGGTGATCTGATGCTACACATTCAGGAAAGTGTCTTCTCAGAATACCGTGCTGCTTTCTACGCTGGATGTGTTGTCCTTGGGCTGGAATTCCTCCACTCCAAGCAGATCATCTACAGGTAATCTATGCTTTGCATTGAATTCAGCCCTGAGAAAGATTAATGGCTACCCATTGCCAGACCGTGTGCACATACTTTGACCTCGAATTCCTCCCACTATTTCTGCATGCACCCAGGAAATTTAACTTTTATTCTACTCCTCTAGTTATTTTTGGAATTCCTGTCCCCAGTGCATTTCGTTTATAGCCTCAGTGGGCTGGAATGCGTTTTATTCGACAGTTGTGAATGTAGCTCCTTGAAAAATATGCACCCTTGTAGTGGGGTAACGTTCGTTTGCGTAAGTGCTTTCGGTTAACTAAAGCTCGGTGTGACGAAGATTCATGTCTTCTGCTAGCCCTCCCGTGGAGGCAGTGAAGCTACCTCCCGACTTATACCTCTGGTGATGCCTTTGCGGGATAGCTCAGGCGCCTTACAGATGGTGGTATTGTTTGTGTTTCATCGGTTACAGAGACTTGAAATTGGACAACTTACTCATGGACACAGAGGGTTTTGTAAAACTGGCAGATTTTGGCCTCTGCAAGGAGGGGATGGGGCCGGACGACACGACCTCCACCTTCTGTGGAACTCCCGAGTTCCTTGCTCCCGAGGTTCTTCTTGAGCCCTCCTACACTCGTGCGGTCGATTGGTGGGGTCTCGGTGTTCTCATCTACGAGATGCTCGTTGGTGAAGTAAGTATCACGGATCTAGCTCCTCAAATTAATTCGTTTCTGCTCGTATCTCATTTGAATTCATCGATTGACAGCAGGGATGGACTTTCATATCACTAGATCGATTGGTTAAATTAGTCCGTCTACTCATTACTGTTCAGTAGCATTGTTATTGCATCTTATTTATAGTGTCCGTTCCCTGGAAACTCGGAGGACGAAATTTTCGAGAGCATCACCAATCGGGAGGTACGGTACCCGGTTCGTCTGGGTATGGAGGCCACATTGATCATGCGACGTCTACTGCGACGTAATGTGACGCTGCGCCTTGGTGCCTCGGCTAAAGACGCTGCCGAAGTGAAGGAGCAACTCTTTTTCAAGTGCATCAACTTTGACGACCTCATACAACGCAAAACCAAGCCACCCTTCGTTCCTAAAATCGTACGTCTAGGAGGATTCTCACATTTCCCTATTATCGAGCGTCTGGAGTGCCTGAGTAAATAAGGACCTCTTTTGCTGTTTGTGTAGTCAGCTGCGGAGGATGTGTCCAACTTCGACGTAGAGTTCACGCGTGAGCGTCCCTGTCTCACACCGGCACGAGAACGAGCACCACTCTCGAACAGGGATCAGAACTTCTTTGGCGATTTTGACTACTCTCCCGATGGCTTCTGTTGAGTTGCTGGAGCCTACTGTTTCCCCCCTCTTCCCCAGTTCCCCACCCCTCATGGTTGTGTGCACGTAGATGTGCTGAACGCGCAAACCGAACCGCCTGCTGACACCTCTTTCTTTATCCCTTTCCCTCTTCCTATGCGACACATTCACACACATCAATACATGTACTATTTTTATACCCCTTTCTACTGCTGTTATGACTACCGCTGATACTACTGATGCAGCCACAGAACACGATGATACGATGAAACCTCTCATTTTCTGTTGATCCGCTAAACCTCTTCTTTCTTTCCCTATCTCAGGCACGAGGATTATTTTTCGTGCTTTTATTACCGAAATATGAAGGATTGGGAAGAGAGAAGAGAGGGCTGCTTCTTTTCTTCTCCTTCCTCCTCCCCTTCCTCCTCACTCTCTTCATATACCTATTCACATCCACTTCATTTTCTGCCCATAGAACTCTGCAAAATGTGGCGTGTGTCTTTGATTATCACTGTGCGCACTCAACCACGAACAAACTTGAGAAATCGTTGAAGGGGTCTTTTTGGTCTTGCCTCTCCTCTCCCGGAAGGTATTCGGGTTAATCACCAAGTTTTTTTGTTCAGTTTTGATATCGCTACAATCAGTACTAGTCGATGTAAATTTTCGTTTAGAGGTAGTTGTCTTATCTTTAAATCCCTTACAAGTTACTGCCGAGCTAGACGTTTGAATCCGTATTTCTTCATTTTACAAAGGCTCTTATGTGTGTTTATTTTCCTCGATTTCCATGCCCAAATTCAAAATCAAACATGCCTTTTCGGGGATTTGCGCGAAGCTCAATTAATGCTAATCAGGACATCCAAAAGCCGGGTGATTCTTGCGAGCCTCACATCAAATGTCTCTCAGTTTCACGACCTTCGCTCATGAAATTCCGCAGTTTTGGTATTGTTAATAAATTCTACTATGAAATAGAGCGGTTACTTAGCCTTTCTTGTGTCTGTAATCTTCCCTCTTCCATCTTTGAGGCGGCTAAAGACGGGGCATATTCATGTGATCACGTGAAAATCCGGTCATACTACCTAAGATCGTATTTTTTTTATCGCCTATGTGATTTCTTGTTTGCTTGGCTCTTCATGTATAGAGGCTGAAGTTTGTGCTTTCACTTTTTGGCATCTAAGGGCTTTCATGCGAAGTTAATCGCCTTTTTAACGTCGTTTACTAATGATTTCTCACACCCACAATTTCTCGACAAGTGGCAATAAAGTCGGTCTCAAAAGGTGATTGTGAGAACATTAACACATCTGTTAGAAAGTGGGGCTTGATGTGCCTCAATCCTCACACCGTTTAGCCCTTGTCTACCGTCAAAGTTGCGGGGAGGAATTGACCACCCCACGATGCTGACGCATGCACACTGAACTGACCAATCAGAGTGCTGACCTCGGATCAGGAACCTCCTACATTGATCATGAACTGATAAAGGTCAACCGAGCACTGTTAGGCGAACTGGAGGTTTACCAGCGGTGGAGGCTATAAAGTAGAGGGGGCAGAAGTTAATAAACGCGGGGGTGGGATGCTGGGTTCTCCTGGTATCTCATAGCCCTGAAATAGCTTTGGTATCCATCATGTACTGACCTTTGCATTCCATAGGACTGGCAGTAGAGCAGACATTGACTTGCCACACAAACGCACATGTCTGCGCAGAGAGATACAGTGAACTCCAATTAATGTGCCCCCATTGTTACCTTCAGCCCATATGTCTTCTCTTCCTTCCTCCGGGTCTTGGGTTGGGGCGGCTGTGTGATGATGTTTTAGGGTGTCACTGACAGTGGTCTAACGGTAAAGTGCGCAGCTGTGGTGCAATTAACAATGAAAAGGTGGTAGAAATGCCACAATTGTTGAAAGGATCGCTGATAATCGTGACGAAAAGACATACGCCTACTTTGCGCGATTTTCAAATCTCGAGTCCCAGTTGCCTGTGAAGAGGGCATTGAGTGGACGAGTTTGAATCAGCGACACAGAACTGGAGGATGATCGTCCCGTCACGTGCGTTTTTGTAGTCTACAACGTAAATATGGGTGTCGAGACGTCTCATAGGTCTTATCACCCAGGTGTTGAACACCTTCCAGGGCCTCGAGGAGCCTGGTGGAGAGTGTGTTCAAGGGGTTCAACAGCCCCCCATTTCTTCCATTCAAAGGAAGGTGTAATAAACTCTGCGAAGACTAATTTTGTGAAGAAAAAGCCTTGAAACAAATGCCTTTTTAAAGTGGGCGTTTCTTTCTTTAAAAAGTAATAAGTGCATCCAGAGATTAAGAAATGATAATCGCCTTCTTCATGGCATCAACAAGCACGTCTTGGTGAATTTGCAAAATGGGAAAGCGGCTTCATTTTTCGTATAAAAAACTCGTTCCCCCACATGCCTCAAAGATTAAGAAATTTCTTCTTTCGAAGGCTTTTGTTTGTACATCAGATGGGACTGCTTAACAATGGGCATCGTCTAGAACCTCCATGAAGCTAGCGTCTAGGTTCATTGTCTAGTTGATCAAAAAACAGGAAATAATCACTTAAGTTATGGGAAAGAAACGTAGGGAGGATTGAAAATAATATTTTTCCAGCTAGATGAAGTCTGACCGCTCAATTAGACCCTCTTGAAAGCCTCTTCAGCGAGTAACTTTGTAGATACACTTTTAAGCGTTAAGGCGTAAAGACGCTTTGACGATATGCTCATCATCCACACTCTTCTGTCTAACAAAAAACCACCCAATGGCTTCCGCGATCTTTTTTTCCCTTTTTTCATCTCTTTTTTTTTTGAATTATTTCTATTGCTCTCCATCGATCTCACCCGTCGTTCTCGTCTCAGCACCTCGGTGAGTCAATCAGGTGAGCCCGGGGGCTGCCTTGTTGGCTCAGAGGAGAGTTACAGATTGGTTGGTGCCACCTAATTAACTGCAAGTCGCAGTCATTGTTGTTGACTCGAAGCAAGTAGTAGCCGTCACCACACACTCACAGACGCACACCACCTCTCCAAGGCTCCACACTCCTCTGGCCAAGACATTTGCTTAGTCGGTGGTGAGTCCCCTACCTACCTCTCCCTTGGATGTTATCATGAGACTTCAGGGGTTTAAATGCTCCGCATGAGCCAGCTCAAACTACTATTCCCCTTACTTCCATAAAAATGTCTTTTATGCTAACCTTTGGTGCCGTCTCATGACAATTTATCATTGATGCTAACAAAGTACTTAGCTGTCAGGACCATAATTTGTCCTTGAAAATGTGGTGCCTGATGCTTGGCAACTCGGATCCTCAATTCTCCCACCTGCTTATCTTCTAACGGGTTTTCAAGACCACTTCCTTATTATTCTTATTTATTAATTATAAATAGACTTTTTTGCTCTGGATATTCCATCCGACAGCATAAGAAGTCATGTCAGTCAAATTAGTCAATTCGAGCAGTTCTCAGACCTGATTGTCTCTATCAAATAATCTTATCTCATTACATTACTAGCCTTTGGTATCCTTCAGGTGGGTGACAATCCAAGCATAAGGACACGACTTAATATTTTATGACGCCTTAATTTTGTAAGGGTTGAGTAGCTCTTTTGGTAAGTGACAGTCGACTACAGTATTTCGGTATGGAGCCCCACAAAATGACAGCAGTAGCGAAAAAAATGCGCATCGACCCTTGGCACAATTCTCTCTGTGTGCGTGTGTGTGAGTGAGTGTCAGGCAGCATAATGACAGTACCGATGAGAACAATTGCCTTGGCAGATCTAATCGACTGCTGGCAGTCGAGCCTGAGCTGTCACCTTGGCAGATCTGTTTGAGTTTTGGCACTTTCATTTTAATGGTAGAACAGCCACATTCACATGACTGTTTGGCACTCGAGGTCTGTTGAGTAGCGCTTTTGAGAGTAAAAACGACTAAAAAAGCAAATAACCATGACGAATAGAAAAGTTTATTCCAAACGATGGTATTCCATACCGCAATGCTCTACTGGACCTTCACTCACTTAGAGGCTGACAATGTGATTTGCGGAATTTCTTTTGTCACTACTTAGTATTAATTGAAGTTTAAAATAATTATGAGGCAAAAATATTTTGAGATTAACTTGGGCTTTCCAAAATGCAGGCTTGCCATTAAAGTCTTGACTGCTTTTCTTGAGCAAGAAAAACTGCTTTTTGCGGTAGTAAAATTCATCTGAAAGTAATGAGTGTTCTGGGCTGATACAATTCGCTTTTACCGATTTCTAAAAGGCTGCTTCCCAGGCATGCGGGGGAAGAATTGACTACGGAATCGTTAGCGTAAATGGTTCCATTTTTTTTTGGAAAAGAGAAACATGACCTCACAACGTTTAATCACATGCAGAGGGAACGCTTGTTCGCACGATCAGAAATTGAGAAGAAGTTTCTAGCACACGAGGCCATGAATAATTATTCCTCGAGACCAAAAAAGAAGCGATACAGAAGAAGTTTCCCCATTTTTGGCAAGGTCATTAATGCTAGATGAGTAGCTTCCGGTAAAGTACAGTCCTAACGTGTGGGATTAGGAGACTTCGGTGGCGTATGCAAGGCAGAAGTTAAGAAGTCTTAACATTTCAGTGATTTGAGTGGTTGGTGCTGTGCTCCAAAAAGCAGTCAATTTTGAAGGCCCATATGCTGCTCACAAGAGCGCCGAACTGACAATGCTGACAGGTACTCAAGTCACTTGAATACTAATTAATTAAAGCCTTGATCGAGTGCTACCCGCTCTCATAAGTGCTAAAGACCTGATCAGAAATTAGGTTTCTTCGTGTTGATAGATCAATTATCTCCTTTCTTTTTCTTAACCTATTTAAATCCTACGTTTTATTGATGGAAAACCGCAATTTTTATATCCCTCTCATAAAGTCATCGAGATGTTCCACGGTTTATTTTTATGACCTTTGTTCTCCTCAACATCAGCTTTTATAACTCATGAAGCCAGAGGAAGAAGTAGTTCGGATAAGCTGATCTTATGCGCGAATAAGTTATCAATTTGGGGAAATTCAAGCAGTACGGCAAATATCTAAACTATCACGGCAAGGTCATGTGCAATGGATTTTAGTAATCATCATAACTTTTGATTAATGTTTTTATTTTGCAAACAAGACTTTTTTTATTAATTATCTTCCATTAGATGTATGTTGGCAGTAACCAGTTAAACTATCAGAAATGGTACTTCAACAATGACTACATTTATGCATTTTCTTTTACCTTCCTAGGTGCAGTTTAAAATGGGCAAAGCAAAGGGACTTACAAAAGCTAAACGCTCACGAGACGTAAGTTTTTTATTTACAGATATTCACTAAAAAGGACCTCCATAAATCCGAATTGTAACAGAGTGGCTTATTTGACGCTTCCGAGGAGTATGTACACTCTAAGATACTCCTTTAAATGGGTAGCCAAAAACAGAAGCGGGAAACACAGCTGTCTGGTTTTCCATTCGCGTCCCCTCTCTTATCAACCCTCCGCTACCCTTAGAATGTTATGTACAAATTCCATCAAAATGATTTTACTACACTTTCATCTTAATGGCTATTAAAAGCGGAGGGGAATTCGACAATAAACCATTCTTGTGTACAAATCACTAGTAAGGTTAATGACAGTCCACAAGGGACTGTGTAATCAAGCTAAAAGATGTACTTTTTATCCCATAGTCACCAAAATAAATATGGTAGAGAGGGAAGATTTACTGATAGGTGTCATGCTAGTCGCGATCACGAGCTCCTTCCACCCACAGCCGACAGAATTACATGATGACTACCTGGTTTCCATAGATGGCATTACAAATATGTGCTTCATCTTTTGATGATTACATAAATCCAAATGTGTGTGGGCTTGACTGCCCCTCATTCATTTGCGGAGGCATAATCCGATTAAGAATTAATGGAATGTACTTTTTCTTGCATTTTTCTCTTTAAATAAGCTCGCCATTCGGACTTACGAGGCTGCAATTAGTCTCCTATTAAATCCATGCCATCTTTGGCTGCAATAATAATTAAGTAGATCTGGCAAGCAACCTGAAATTTTTTGACTGCCTACACAGAGATTTTGACGTGGGAGATTTGATGGCAACTGGTTTTAAAAGACAAAATTTTTTTCGGGGTGAGAGCATCTCATTAGGATACAAATCCGAATAAGGCATTGGATTTGATAGACACAAGTACTGAAATGCTGGTAGCTAGGGTCACTCCAGCTTCCATTGAACTAGCTGGATTCCACGTATTTAAGTGATCAATGACGCATGTACTTCTAATTAGCCCTTGTCAGTTTCTAAGTAGTACTATCAATAAAACACGTCATATAAATTTATCAGCTTGGTTGAGAGTTTATAGATTACCCAACAACACGCTTGCTACTATCGTTACGTATATGCAACGATCCTGAGTTTTTGTTTGATTTCGGCGTCACAAACCTGTGACGTGGATTCTTTCCCACTTTACAGTAAGTGATGACAAAGGGGAGATTGGTGACTTCATTCACTCAAACTAGAAATTCTGTCATCAAAACCTTCCTGATTGGTGAGATCGAAGTTATCACACCTCATGAAAGAGGAGGCGACTCCAAAATACGATAGTAAAGCTATTTTTCTCTCTAAGTGATGCAGTGTTCCCTCAAAATGACTTGAGACATTCCTTCTGACAATAAATATTAGGGCACTCGATGCCTTGATCTGAATGGCTGATGACTTAACCGGGAGGTTATTTTGATCGCTCCCTTTATGAATCGCATAAATACGAATCCTTCCAATGTGCTTCTTGTGTGAGTCACAGAGTTAGAGCCACAGAAGCCAAATTGACTTAGTCTGCCTATCAGACATGTCAAACGTAGTTGGTTAGAGCGAAGAAATTATGTGTACAAGGATATGGCATATTTACCTGTCGATGTTGTTTGTAATTAGCTCAAAACTGGAACAGTTTCATGTAAAAAAAGAAGATTAATGCTTACCTGAAAGCCTGCTAAGTGAGAAGGACGATCATTCAAGTCCATTTTCCCCCTTTCTACCAGTCGCCAAGAAAGTCGGCCTCGGAGTTAAATCTCGTGACGACAACTTTCATTGAGGTCGGACCTAACACACCCGTCTGTATCGCCCATAGACGGTGTGGACCCTGTGTAAGTTTTTCACTTGTTTTACCGGGTAAATTTATGGCAATGCCGAGTTTTTTTTACCGCCCTTACCACCATTTTTAAAATGTCAACATTAATGCCTCCAACGACAGCATAGGCAAGCATCGTGTATTTTAAAAGTCCCTACGAGTTGAAACCTTACGACCTTTTTCGGATAACCTTACAAATGGGAAGTTTAAGTTCAAATAAACCTTTGCAGGAAGCCTAGGAAATGTCGACAATTTAAAGTGCGCACTTATTCTGTAGAAAAGTCCGCGAAATCAAAATATTTTTGGGAAAGCAAATGTGCATGATGTTAATCACTCGTAAAGTCCAGCTGTCACCTTTTAATCCGAATTAGAAAAAGGAAATTTCGACAACTCCTCTACCCTTCCTAAGAGCCACACACACACACACATCTAGTCTCTTTACTTTTTGGCCTGTGTAATTGACTTTGCCGTTTTTCACATCGGTTGCCACAGGCAAAAATTCGAGCAACTTACCCACCACTAGCTCGAACTCTTTGTACAACCTGAGAAATGGAATATCTGTGGGAGGTAATATGTGATTTTGGCTCTTAAGTAGACTTTTGACAGTTATTATGCTGAACATGAGGACTTACGGAGTTTGCATAGTCGCAATGTCAATCTCTAGGCGGAGGTGAATATCCCATTCCTATTAGATTTTTCGAGAAGGTCATTCACTGGAGAGATTTGCAAAGCACTTTGGAGCCTTCTGGTTACGTGACAGTCCCGGATTCCTCTACGTTGCTTGGCTTCACCTAAGGATAAGACTTCGTGGGTTGTCAAAAAGACCATAACCACCATCTCTGAGAAAAAATCTCCGCTTCTTCAAAATAAACCAAAACTGTACATATTCACTTATAAATGGTGACTGATTTAGATAAGACATTTAAAGTTTCACATATCTGCGATACTAGTGAAGAAAGTGTGGAAAAATTATTACATAAGTTGAGTGGATTTTGATTTTACTACCATTATTAAGTAGTATGCGTGACTTACACATTTTCTATTAAGAGCCTTTTAAGAATATGCGATTTTATTTTGACAAATACAATATCTTAGCAATTTTAACAGCTTTGTCCATAAATATAAAGGATCACAATTCCCTCCTTGCACATTGATAAAATTGCAACCACTGATAATTTAACAGCATATTCACTTTTTTCAAAGTTTAAAAGCGCGACGTGCTTTTTCCTTTTAACTTATATAAACCGTTGATTAAAAATGCTGCGCAGGTAATTCCTCTATTCTATGCCATTTCTTTAGATATGATTTTTTAAACAATATCCTGCTTTAAAGGTGCTACTTAATAATTGTAAGTAGCATACCTTAAAAACTGATTTTGTAAATTTGGGTAAATCACGCCCTAGTAGCCCTGTTTTTACTAAAGATTGATTTAATTTACGTAAATGGCTAATAAAGACTGAGGCAGCATCTAGTACTGACGAAGATGAATCATGTGTAATGTAAAATCGAGCAAGTGACGTCAACCACGCCTGCCACAACCGTGACGCCAATCGGGTTATAATTAAAATCATCGCGGTGGGTCACAGCTCATTGTAAGTGCTTGAAGGTCATCACTATTCGTACTTTTGTCCTAGCCACCAAATTAATTGTGGATTACTTTGAAGCAATTGCAGTCGTTTTTTTCCTGCCTAACAAAAAAGTTATAAGCACTTTCTGGGGCGTTTCATGCACAAATTCCCATTTGGAAATAAGTAGCAAAAAGAATACATCAAATTTGTTACATTAATGCCTTTGTGAAACAGTGTAAAGTTGCCTTTGTTGACTATTTGTTGCGAAAAGATGGCAGTCAGGGTCTTATCAGCACCACTGTTTTCTTCCCACTGCTAGATTGTGGGAGGAAATTGTTTGAAGAGTATGCACCTCCTGTGCTCGGGAGGCATGCATTTGACTGGTAGCTCCGCGGGTGAACTCTTCATCATGTCGCCTCTATCCTCAGCCCAGTCGTTGAATTATATTACTTGTAAGTCGCCTTTTACCTTTATTACACCTGCCACCTAATTTATCTTGCCCTAGCTACCAAGCATCCCTCCTAAAAGTGACAAAGTGTAGCGATCCGAGTCTCTCTCAAGGTTGAAGGAGACGTATTACTGACGTACAGCTGGGTTGAGGCCACAGGCATGGCTCAGAAACCTTGCCACTGAGCGAAAGTAGAACCTGTAGAAACGTAGAGTCAAGCAAACTGCCAAAGCATTACGCAGTTCCTCCCTCCTACTGTCCCCGGCGTCCCACTTGGTTGACCCCCTGCGTTGGCCATCACCCCCGAACCGGCTGCTCCAGTTGTCGAAATTGCCTGCTGCTAAGAGGATACTCGTCAGCAAGGTCGTTGTGATGCATTCCATCATTTCCACTGACTCAGGTGTTTAGTGCTGTTTGGCGATTGTATTAGGGAGAGGGAAATACGTTGTCAACTTATTACAGTGAGATCTTTCAATCAAGAAATCTGGGCGATTTGCTCTCAAGTGGTGAAACCCACTTTGCGTGGATGTGTAATTATACATGTGAGTGTAGCATAACGAACCGCGCGATCCAGAATGGCTAAACCCTGAGTGGTGCATATGCCACCTTCCACCACCTCAAGGTTATTTAGCTACCTCAGCAGCGCTAAAGTGACAAGGGACTTTAATTTGTATTAATTGCCTTTTTAATGTCTATTGATTACCTAAACCCCTCCTAAAGGGGATAGGATCTTGTGGCGGTCCCTCTAACATTCGTAATCAAGGCAAAATTTTCAGAAGTAAAAGCGTGAGAAAACCTGCGCCAGTGGGGTGGTAAACGCGTCAACGACTTGTTTCAACCTCCACAAAAAGTAGCGATGATTAATACGACTTAGTCAAGAGGGCTACACTGCCATTGAGCAGGCAGAGGTCGGAGGCTGCTCAGCCCCCGACGTGATTGGGAGAGAGGATCAATCAATCACCCATTGGCAGTAAAACTTTGCCACGGGTTATGGGAGGACTGCACACGCTACGGAGGAAGACTACGGTGGCTAGCAGTGCTTGAAGGATGTTTATACGCAATCCACGCTATCGATGCAGCAGTGTCCAAGGCCGACACAGGGATTACTTTCATCCCCTCAATCGGCTCTGCTTGGCTCACACTAAATGCCTTACAATGCAAACCAGTTAGTGCTTTTCCCCTCAACAGAGGTGTTTGCTTGCCTTTTAATGCTCGTGGATTAGACACTTTTATTCTTCTCACTAGTTGGGGCATTTCTGAACTCTCTTGGTAGCCCAAGGTGCCAATTTTATGCTTTGAATTAATTCCGTGTTTAATTTCCATGTACCGTGTTTTGCGCGAGTTGAATACTTAATGCTTCAAATAGCAGCGGAGTTAAGGCAAGGCTCCGGTACTGTGCATAAAAGAGTCACATGGGATCCATCCATATTTTAAAGTTGAGCACTGTAGATACTACTTATTACTTTCGTTCATGTTAAGTCTAGCTTACCGGAGATGCAATTTTCTCACATTTTTACCTTAAGATACCCAAAAAGTGGAAAGGACATTGTAATTTAGCTACTCACTACAAACTTTTACCGTATGATTATCTGAACCACGACGTCAAGAAAATATCGTTTTGGCACAATTTTCATCTACTTATTTGGGAACTGTGTTAAATCCCACGGTTTTTATGCAGCTTTAGCAATTCATTTCATTTAAAAATCTCTGTTGCTATATATTCGGGCAGTTTATTTATCTAGAAGCACTTTGCCGGTTTTGCTTCAAAATGCTTACCGTGGAAGGCTACCTGTCAGCCGGTCTGTCTTAAAACTCGCTTATATGCACGCACCCTAGGTTAATGAACCCTTAAATTACTTGACCCCGTCCTAAATGTAATGTAGGCAACGAGGAAAAACCTGCGGTACACTTACACCGTTCTCCAATCAAAAGTGAAGGTAAACTTACAACTGAGTCAGCAGCAGCTAACCGGGCCCAGCGCGTCTCTATTTTGCCCATTACTAGGCAGTTTTTGGTTTACAACCATCTTCCTCATTACATCATCTGGTTATTCCACATTTACATTAATCTGTTCACATTCATGAAGTGATAAACATCTCACCTCCTCAACTTGGTGATGAAATGGTACCGGAGAACTACTTGCATCAATAAATAAGTTTAGTTAGAAATCCTGAGGATGTCTCTGCGTAACCTCCAGCTGACTAAAAAGTAGAAATGTTACAAATTTAGGCAAACCTCCAACTACTTTGCAGAATAGTAAACTGGGAGGTACAATTATGGGATTTATGGCAATGATTTACCCTCAATGGATTTATACAACATTCGAAGTGTCATCACTGACAATTTAACCGTCATGCACACTGATAATCTCCACTAATTATTATTTCTTCTAAATCGCATTTGTCCAGGCGATCACTACCACAAGAAGCCACAACAACAGCAGCTGTACCAAATACCTGCAAAACTGGTCCCCTTGAATGAAATTGGTCAGAGCAGCGGCGCCGTAGAATGCAGTGAGCGCCACATGCGACGCGTGGGTCGAATATCACCCGGTATGTCATCAGGGTAGTTTCCAGCTCACCTAACTTCCTTGACTAGCCTTGCCCTTGAAAGGACTTTTTGAGACTCATCGAAAAGATCGCAAAACCAGACCTCTCTTATTTGCTTAGATCTAATAGGTAGAACTCTAAAAATGAATGTTGGGATTGTTTGCTATTTGAGGAGTTATATTTTACGGCGACAAGGGCATTCATAACCTTTTCCTTACTTCAAAGAATGTAATTGGATTTTGTCCCCGGAAATGCAATTCTTAAGAAGTTCTGGCAAACCATGTTATTTAGAACTGAGACCAGAGATGGCAAATAATTTTATTAAATATATTTAACTGCCTTACGGAGCATACCTCAAGGTTTAATGAGGAGTCATGTTCCCTTTTTTGCGATTTCTACGATAAATACGAATAAATTGATGATGGGGCCATCGTATCGTTTGTGTCCGAAAATTCGGTAAGGCGATTGGACAACGCCAAGTAATTTGCCCAAACAAAGGTTTTACCATTAATGAATAGCAAATCTTGTAGTACCAATTTTAATTGCACTGGAATATTTTGTTCTTGTCTAAACCATTTCTGCTTCTTAAAGATATATTAATTAAGTCCTGTGATATTATTTCCGATAAGTTATGCAGTTATTCGGAAGAAAGTGGAATGAAATGCAACCATTCAACTTTAAACACGACTGTATTTTATTTCTTTTATGCAAATATTTTAACCACATTTGCTTATGTTTTGCTGAACACAAATCCAACTCAATTGGGTTGTTTCCCAAAACTACTTAACGCTTCCTACAGAGGAAAATATTATAAAGAAAAGGGCTGATTATTAAGAGTGGTAGCTGTGGACTTAAGCACTATAACTACAAAATCCGTTAGCAATGTAACCTTTGCTTCGTAGGCATAAGCGAACCACTGATGCTCCTAACCCTAACCTGCGACTGTCTCCCCGCTCTCCCCCCTTCCCCAGACAGGTACTTTGGAAATCAGACCCAGATGATTAGATGTCCTCTCTGCGAGGCTCACTCACGAAAAACTCTGGACAACAGCACCACAACTACCACCACTGCCAGCACTAGCAGCATATCTGACACTGAGGAAATTACGTTCACCAGACCGCCACGGCAAGCCAGAGCTCGGTATTGTATGTGCATTTCTTCTATTCCATTTCTTCTATTTTTACAAACAAAGACATTTTTAATTACATCTAGATTGGATAGTGAGATCGTTGCTCTTAAATTACCATCACTTTCGCTATTAGCATCACGCATGTGTGACTGGATGCAGCAAATCGTGTCACCAACAGATTCGGCTTGGTAAATGAGCTTAGAGCACGGTCACGTTTACTAGAAGGTTTACCTTGGACATAGGCACTAACGCCACTTGCAAGTAACTGTCAAAACCCGCCTTCAGCAAATCACTATGTCACACGGACCCCTGCACACAGTGGTGGACCAGTAACTCTGGTGCACCAGCGGAAGCCTAAAACTCTCCAGATGTATCATTGCCAAGGTAATTTGTGTGCGTTGTCACCCGAGATTCCTCCAAAAATCCCAGCCTCACCCATGGGTTGTGAGCGCCCTTCTAACACTCCGATCAAGTCCATACTCCGCATGCTCGCCATGCGTTTTTTCTAGGGATTTTTAATGCTAGAAACTTGTTTTAATCAACTGGGTTGGCCCGAGTTAACTTAGCGCAGTAGTAATGGTAGACACAAGAGTGGAATCTGATTCCTGTAACCGTGATTTTATTTGTTTTATGACTCTTAACCACGACTGGAATTGGTATCTTGTCTTCTTTGAAGCAATTTTACTTTGTTGCGGCTATGATCACAGCATAAGCACTTGAAATGCATGCATGCGTTTTTATTCCCTCTGGTGCAGATTCAAGTCCACGACGAACATCGCCCGGACGATTCATCGCGCGGAAGAGTGAAACAGAAATGGTATCGCATCAACGAGGCAGTAACAGGCCACCGCACCAAAGTGGTAAGGTGGTTGATATGTACACACACTGTGGGAATTCACGTGTAAGAACTTGGTTTTTTTCCGGTTTTTAAGCACTGTCAGTAGGCAAAATTGTCAAGCGTGTGGCTGTTGGCAACAGTCTATTTCCACGTGCGTGGGCGACCACAAAAACGGAGATTAATTATCACCCAAGGCGCACTTTACTCAACTAGCTTTAAACTAGCAATTCTGCAAAAAAAACTATAAAAGAATGCTGATTAGTTCTAAAAATGAACCTACTGCTGGACGCTGAGAAGAAATAAGTAGCACTTGTCGAGGATATTTAGGTATTTAGTTTTCATTTAGCACCACATATTCTTTTAAGAATAATTCTAGGGCATTAAGCCATTTTGAAGTAGAAGTATCGAAAACTGCGATGAGGGTTGATAAACTAACTGGCAGTAAATTTTATTTCTTACCAGAGCAAACAATCCTTACAATACCGCAAAACCATAAAAAGGTGGTAGACTCTTCACCACTGAAACCATTACAAATGCTACATAGTATTTGTAGCTTAGGCAGTAAAAAAATTTGCTGCATAGTAGAGCATGCAGTCTTTGTGCGAAAAAATAGATGGTAGCTTAAAAAAAGGCGAAATGTTTGATAAAATCCAACTCAGTAGTATACGCATTTACCCATGATTATTTAAAATCTCTAACTCTTTTGAAGATGTTTGCTAGAAAAGAAAATGACTTTTAATTGAGTTGCCTTATGCTAGAGGCAATAAACAGGTGGTAATTTTAGTTGAACTTCCTCCAAGGTGGAAATTGGAATCATGAACCCGTGAAATTGGTCTACGAAAATCGTCCACGGGAATCGACTCGACGGAGCCCAAGTCCTCCACACCGACCACGATCTGCACTTCAGCAGATGAGGAGGCTCGACTCCGGTATGTTTGAATCTCTAAAAAGGTTCTCAAGATAGGCATTAGAATTGGGTACTGGAAGATGGGAAAGTTTCGTTTTAACAATAACGTCATTTTTCGGTTGGCTTTTGAAGATACGCATACTTCCCGAATGAATGGCGCCTCGAGGATTATCTACGCAAGTAAGCCCGACACGCCGACCTACCACAATATCCCGATTCGACATGCAAGTCCACCAAAAGGCACCACCATTGGCTTCAGGCACGACATTACCGCCTCCTCGTCATCAGGTAAGACAGTATCCGATGAAGTTGTAATCAAAGGTAATTAGAATACCGACGAGTAATGATGTCAATGACATTCTCTTTTTCGCTGTTAGCGTCAATTTCGACCAGCATTACGAGCCTGCCTCAAGGTTCGCCAGTACGGCCGCCAGATATAGAGCTCGACGTGGTACCGCCGCCTTCGCCTCGACCATTTGACAATCGTGCGCCCCACGGGAATCTCATCAAGTTCGAAACCACCAGACCTGCAGATGTTCCCTATTTTGGTGAGTTGAAGAACTTCTATGCTTAAGGTAACCTTTTAAGACCTCGAAAGGGTGTGCCAGCAATCATTGCCGTGCCTAAATCACACACCGAATCTATGCCTGTTAGTGAAAAAGTCATATTTTTTAGATGAGACACCTTTTATTGCGCAAACTTGATGGCTTGTCCTCTGGAAATTAAAAATTCTCACAGAAGGTGGAGAGAACAATCAATCTCAGTGTATCAACCCCCTTATAACTAGATTAGAAGAGTCAACAAACGGTGAATCGGTGTTTTGGTAAATTTTTATGCGAAAAAATTCTCGTGTGTGGTAATTACTCCTTTAAAAGGGTGGAAAATATCGTTTCTTTAGTAGACTAACGAAAGTTGAGTGGATAACTTTTGAGTTTAGATTCCGCCTCGGAGAGCAATTTTGACCTCAACAGGCCGGAAAACCACGCTCGTGGGGCCGGTTACATGGTGGCCCGACCCCAAGGTAATGCCTACCCAGGTGAGCGCCTTCACATTGTAAGGCAGTCGACCAGTATAAAGATATGTTTTACAGACTAGAGAGGTTCTTTCCTTAGAAGCTCCAATTCTTTTGACCTCTGTCAGCAGTAATTACTCCACCACAAAGAAATTCAGTATTTCCGATAGTTCTACGGCAGAGGTTTAATAATGTTGCCGTTTTTCAGTCCACTTTTTCGTCGGATTAGTCAAATTAACAAATCTTACTTTTCGAAGTGGCATTGGTCTTTTTTTACTAAAAAAGGTGAACGGATGCCTCCACAGCCGCGAATAGGCTACCAGGAGGAGGAGTTGATACCACGCCGAAGGACCACCAAAGACCCCGACCTGAATATGAGCTTCAATTTCCAATGCGGCGCCGATCCACACGTTCCATCCCTCACTCCGGGTAGGTGGTTGCCATAATAATTGCATTTCTTTGGCGAACCAAAGAATATCTCGGCAAAGTCTGCTTATTTCGCACGCACCTCTCCCAATTTTATGCCCTATTAATTTATCTTGTAATTCAATCACTCAAATTCAAATATGACTTTAAGGAATATACCCCTCCACACATTTGCCAAATCTATAAATTGAGAAGTTAATAGCAATTTGTAACTCGTTAATCTAGTTTGGGATTTTAGTGTGTTTAGACATTCCACGGTGTAGACTTTGAATACCAAGGAGCCGCGAACGGCGGGTTCGAAGTTGCCACGAGCTAGAGGGGGAGGCGAAGCGTTCTAATTTTGATTTTAACTGACGCATGCTGTCTCCTTTAGAAACGTCGCTTGGGACTCAGGGTCCGGCGCCAAACATGAAAATTCAAGCGAGGGGCAAAACAGGCGACATTTCGACTACCACTATGCCCACGGATACACCGACTGGAGGAAATGCACTAGACGCCACCCTTGAAACAGGTATGGTAAAGCTGCAAGCCATTATTATCCATATAGTCCATTGGACCGTGAGTAAAAAAAAGAAGTTGTTGAGACATTTACACACCCAACCCGAGGTATGGTCTCGACAAAACGAGATTGCGCCTTGTTTAAATGAATTATTCACTTCCTGTCCTGTCTGTTCTAGACATGCATTTGAAACTCGAAATCCTGCAAAAGTCTTAGGGCGATTGCCCACCCCAATATGGCTGACGCTTTGTTAAGTCAAAAGTTTTAATTTCTTCAAAACTTGACCCCGTCATTTTGACGCCTCTAATTTTCGACTGATTCACAAATAATGAAGATGAAGTTTTTTCGTGCGTAGTTACGTCACAATTAAGTGCTGGCAATTTCTAGCTCCCCGTTAGCTTTAATTTGCAGTAATTTCCACTTATTAACACGGCCTTTTAAGTAGACTGTCGCGATAGGTTGTCAAGGTTACGCAAAAGTCTAACAATGAATTGTATTCTTTAGCTTCCAAAGGTTAATACTATTTTATCAATTAGGAAATCAATCCCATTATCCAATTAAAAAATGTTGTTGAATTTTGTTACCTTGGAGGCCAAACGGGCTTATTTGAACACCATGGTCTCCCAATTCTTCAGTCCAACATATTTAGGGGCTTTTTTTGACATATTCCTTCCAAAATCTTGAAAGAAAGTTATTCATCACGGGACTGGTGTTTTTCTGATGCAAGATGACACCGAAACCCCCGCTATCGTACAGATAAACCCAACTGCTGCTAAAAAACAAAAAGATTTATTTTCAAGTTAAAAAATGTCCGAACCGGGAGCCATTTACAGCTTTTTTGCTGTTTTAAGCCCAATCATTCTGCTTTCGGTACAAGTTACGGTAAGCGGAAAAAGAAGGCTTCCCACAGATATGCGATGGGGGTAGCTGATGCGTGAAGCATTTGCTTGACTGGCTTATATAGTTCACATTTTTAAAGAACCTCGTAGATACAATGTGTATTTCCCTGTTTTGGACAAAACCATGACCAAAAGTCGTTGCTGTTCAATCTTGTGAATTAATTGTGGGGTCTTATTACATCCTGTGGTTTACTAGCGTATCCGATATTTGTAGTTTTTTCCTCCTCCAACAATATGGGGCACACTAAGATCCACATTTCCCCATATTCAAGATTTCCCTTGTTCCATCAAAGTCAAAGGTTAAGGAAAAACTCATTAGGGCTGATGAGATTTATCATTTTCACCTCTCCACCATAGACACACTTCGGTCCGCTGGTGATTATCGCGCGCCATACTACGGAAGACGAGAGTTCCACCAAGCTCCACACCGACGATAGGAGAGACAGACAGAGAGACAGAGTGACAGACAGAGAGACATGCAGACACTACCCACCGCACACAATTGTATTGTCTAGAGATGCTGCCAAATTGGTCACGCTCTACTATCACTACCACCATCACCGCCACCACTTGAACTCGTTGCACGCATATGTATACGCACAAGTGCCGATGTTTATTTTGTTCACTTCCCCCTGTTTCATTCATTGGCCTCTGTGAACAGTTACAAAGGCAAACTCTCATTCGCAGTGCTTCTTAGTTTGGCGCGCCTTAACCCAACTCATACTAACTGAGAGCCAAAAATAAAGGGATTTGTCTCCTACTTGAGAATAAACGAGCTTAAATCCACTCAGGTCATACCGCAAAGAACGCTTTCGTTGACATCAGAAGTAATGGTCCTTCATTCAGTCACTCACAACATCAAAAAGGGGGGGGAGTCCTGACCTTTAGCCCTCTAGCAGGCTTTTGTGGTTTTAATGTATAGACAGTAATTTGGGGTCTCATCCTTTCCTGATTGCCGCACCTGTCGAGGCGATTTTGTCGTCTTTTCAAGGATGATATCTACATCATCTTGCAATGAAGTGGGTGCTTGAATCAGAAAATCCAGAAGAGCAGTCCATGAGCTTCGCAGAAGGCAGCCAGTTTGCTGTTATCCCACTTCAAATATACATCTCATTCATTGCTTTGGTATGGTCAGAGGTGTTTATTTGTTTATTTATTTTCTTTTTTGTTGACTTCGCTAATGTGCGCCCGAAAGTGGAGGCTTCATTCTTTCAGTTCTGCATTAAGCGACTCGCTACTGCTTCCAGAGGGGATTGGGACCCTAACATAGAGGTTTATGGGTGAAATTAAAAACAAAAACTCCATCACCGTTCCTCTCATGTGGTATGTTTGCTTTTCAAGTGGGTTCGTTGCAATTGCCTCCGGCTGCACGCAATTCAAGTCCTCGAATACTGCCGACACTGGTATCGCCTGTCTCAAATGAGGAATCATCAGTGGCTACCTCGCAGAATGGCAACACAAGGAAGCAAGACCTCGGTGAGTCAACACTACGTTATCTCAAAACTGCATTTAAGCCAGTCATCTGGGTCGAACCGGGAAATTCACATCTTTTTTAAAGTAGCTATCCGAGACATATCCACATTTATTGCACCACTTAACTACTGTCAATCTAGTAGACTTGACACTGAAAGTTTGACAGAACCTCTGAACCATAGAAGAGCACGATGAGTTCGGGATGCTTACAAGACTGACTGAGAAGTGGCCTGGCGCGGCAACGGACAGACAGAGGGGCGGTCATTGTTGAAAACTTACCACTCTTCTGAAAATCCGATTAGGTATCCGAGGGGTTCTAGTTGACAAGAGAGCCTTCGTCAACATGCGTGTGTGCGCGTTCTCCACCACTGCTGCCTGTCATCTTGACCGAACTGACCCATGACGTGGGCTGCGACTTTGTCATGAACTGCTGTATGCCTGTAACCACGGGCTTAGTCGAGGTCCTAACTAGAGAATCAAAAAGGTAAAAGCTTTAAAAGAGGGTTTTCCACTGTCAACTTGTATATTCGAATCACTGCGAATAACCTTGACTCTACAGTGAGCATTAATACATTCAAAGGGCGTCTCCACATCGTATTGGCCAATAGGGAGTAACCGGACAAGAGCACGAACTTCAAAACCTTTCAGGATGGCTGAATGTACGGTCCTAAAGTAGAGAACAGCCAGAACATCGGAAAGGATTGTTTTTCTGCGATTGTAGCCATCTTTAGTAGACTTTCTGGTTGTCCAGTAAAGTCTTTACTAGACGCCTTATAGACTACTTATTGATTTAGGCGACGGAAGAGAATCAGGATTTTCGTCTCATGCCTATGAAGTGGTACAGGAGCCGCCAATGGGTGTAACCCAAGGGCAGGATTTTGGTACACACGGTTAGTCCTTGTAGTCTTTGAGTATATATGTATCAATCTGGATATTCCTTATCATTTCCTCATTAAGGCATCTTAGAGGGAGAAAAATCAGTGCTAAAGGTACCCCTAATTAGGTAAGAGGGAAGAAATAAAACAACGGATTTGTAAGGAAAACCTTAAGTGTCTTTAGTGGACGCCAAAAAGCTCTTAACACTCTTCTTTCCCTTCTGAATTACCTCTATAACTAAGTCAAACTTGTGACTTGGGTAAATGAAACCAGGACTACGAGAACCGAAACAACGGAGACGGAAGACTAAACATGGTTTTGTAGCCTATTCAAAGTTTCTTTGGTTTACTGAGGTCAAGAGGGAGGGATGAGCCAGTGGTTTGAACCCTGTTTACTAATACCCATCCCTTTGAACGGTTCCATTAGTTGAAGAGCTGGCAACTTCGGTCGGGGTGGAGGGTGACATTTTGATTCCAAGCCAGCAGTCATTAGGAGCGCCCGAGGAGGAATTGCCATCGCCACCACCAACAACACCGCCACTACCGAGATCAATAGACAAAGTAGATCTGAATAGCAGAAACAAAGCTCCTTTGCCATCACAGGATGGTAAGTGGTTTAGAAGGTTTTCCGAACCTCGAATAAGTCATAAAATTAAGCAAAAAAAAACAGGATAAGATAAATTGAAAACCCTTTTTAGCGAACCATTTAACCAGCATCCAAGAGTTGCACACCCTTAAAATTCCAGCCAAATTTTGATGGAGTGAGAAATAGCACTTAGACATTGAATTCATTCCGGATGGCTAATTTGACATGCAAAACCGGCTTAGTCTTGAAATAGATTGACCACACATGAGCTATCTTTAAGGTGACATTATAAGACAGACAACTGAGAAGGTTTATTACTACCTTTGAGCCGAGATAATCATCTAATACATTGGCTACCAGCGTCACATATATGTGACGTCCTAAATGGGTGAGATAAAAGCCGTAAAAGGATTGCAGCTATCCTTGGTTTGATGACATATTAGAACAGTGTAACATCTAAGCCGCAATTGTCAGCTGTCCACGAGGATTCTGGAAGCAGGCATGTTAAATGGACAGATCTCTACCTTTCTCTTCGACCTCCTTGTATCCTGTCATTGTTATTCTATCCTCGTAGACAACATCGATCCTCAATTAGATCTTTCGAAGAAAGTTTCCGTCCAAGTCGGTAGCCTCATTCAACAACGGCTGAAAGAGTTAACTGTATGCCTTGGTAAGGACTCACAGCCTGTGAGTCGAGACACTGCGACCGCCATGGCAGGTGAGTTTGCCCGATTTCCCTTCGTACCCATTTCGTGACCTTGATTTTTCAATGACCCCTCAATGTATTGTCTGCAGGCGATGCTCGCAAGTTTGCGTCCCTGCAACCTCGAACAGGACCAAGGGCGATAAGTACACAAGAACAGCCTCCTCCGACATTCCAACAATCATCTGCTCCAATGAAAGGTCGTTACCTCTTCCTTGAGTAATCCTCTTGACTAATTTAGGTGGCTCCAAGGTGGTGACTTAAATGGGGGGGGGGAAGGGCTGAAGAACCCAAGTAGTTGAATGTGCCCCCAAAATAAACGTTGTTCCACAATTCCACCAACATTTAAACTATGTCAAATTTCGGTCTTTAGTATTCACTACTAAGGCAATGATAAGCTTGTCCATTAAAAGCTTTGACACAACGCATCTAGAGGTGGTTCAAGCACACAGCAACTTCTAGTCCAGTCCTTTTTTTTCTCCCAGTAGAATTACCACGAACCTCGATCAAGCGGTCAGAAAATATGGACTCATTTATAGATCAACAATTTGGTGGTTTAGGAAGGAATCAACAGATACCTCGCACCAGCTCTGAAGAGTCTGCTGACCGCCAACCACCACCGGGTAAGCAAACACTGAAAGGTTTTCCACGTATTGTGACGGAGAAGGATGATCTGCGTGAATAAATGTGGTTTGATTGACACAGAAAGGATAAATTGTGGCTTATTAGCCCTAGATAGGTACGATTTGCACGATTTAATGCGCCGATTACTTCAACGCTTCACACCCACAGGTGTTTGAAGCACCGTTACAACATGGAGAAGTGCACAATAATGCTAATATGTAGTGAAGCTTTGGATAAATCTGTACTAGTAGCTCCCGTAGATCATTGCGATTGACAAAAGGTCATTCGTCATTCCAACCGGAATGTAATTTCTCTCTTCATTTCCAGTAGGCTGGAAGGATGTTGTAGAATCGCCATATCAGAACCTTTCAGCCGATGGATACACCAAGACCCCCGTCGGCGGCAGACCAGAATTACAAGGGCCACCGCAAGCTGATCTCGAAACGCCATTTCCTGGTAGCTTGATCATTTCCATCCTCTACTTCAGTGTACACGAACTCTCTAAAGTGATTTTGCTATCCTAAGCTTGCATTTAACTTTGTAGGAAGTGGAAGAAGTGGTTTACCGCAACCACTCCAACGAGGCGAATTCATTTCCCAACGTGTGAAGGAGTTGATGGCAGCCAGCGGTGGTGACTCGCACTCCGTCACTTCCAGCGGCACCGGTCAGTAGGGGGGCACTGTTGCAGTCTGCCAAAATGACTACCGCCATACCACTCACAATATCCCTTTCTAAGTAAACAAAAGCCAACAAATAAATATATGAGAATAAAAGCTATTGTGGGTCAATGAGAAGTCTCATGCATTCCTTCAGCCGCCTTTTTTCGTTGTTCCGTCTTTGAAGGTAGCGTGCCCTTCGTTACAAAACTGACTGTCTCCTCCTTCAGTACTACTAACACACCGACTCAAACTACAAATACTTATAACAAACTAATTTCTTTTAAAACACTTTTACCCTAATGTGAATACGTGAATTTGAGTTTTTTTGGTTAAATAACTTGCTTGAATAAAACAAAGTAAAACTTTTTGGTTAGCTCTTCGCCTAAAGAGTAAACAAAATGCTAAGAGAAATCGGTTTTGAAATTGGGGAAGGGGAGATTAATGTGTTCTTTTCCTTTGTGATTTAGCCACCTCATTAACGGCGCCCGAGCCCGTGCAATTTAAGCTACAAATTGAGGATTTTCGTCTGGTGGCTGTGCTAGGACGCGGGAACTTTGGAAAGGTCCTCCTTGCTGAGTACAAACTGAATAATGGCTACTTTGCCCTCAAGACCTTCAGGAAGGTGGATATGCTGCGAGAAAATTGTGTGGATTGTATGAAGATTGAAAAACGTGTCCTCCAGATTGTCTCTGAGGCGAGGCATCCCTGTTTCGTCCACATGATCGCCTGCTTCCAGCCTCAGGTAAGAGAGTCTGTGACCTTGTAGCCCCTCAAACGGAACTGAGTTGGTTAGGCCTCCATATTGGTTGGAATGAAGAGTGTTTATTGCAACTAAATTGCGCCCACTTCTGTGGTAGGATTATGCTGTAATTGTACTGGACTATTTGCCCGGCGGAGATTTGATGCAGCACATTCAAAGTGGGGCATTCGATGAGGAGCGTACCGTGTTCTATGCAGCCTGCGTAGTCTTGGCGTTGGAATTCCTCCACTTGAATGATATCATGTATCGGTACGTGTACGAGGGCATTAAACACTTTAAATTACGCTCGAAGCGCTTAACTTGTTTTGTGTTCTAGAGATCTAAAGCTGGAGAATCTGCTCCTTACTGGTTGTGGTTACTTGAAGTTGGTTGACTTCGGACTATGCAAGGAGAACATGGGACCGAATGATAAGACAAACACCTTCTGTGGGACGCCTGAATTTGTGGCGCCTGAGATGATCACAGACACTGGGTATACCCGAGCCGTTGATTGGTGGTGCCTGGGTGTTCTCATCTACGAAATGATTGTCGGCAAGGTGAGCCACCTTAGTAATTGATAGCTGAATTGGTATTAAGAGATTGAGAAAAGGATGTCCAATCAAAACCAGAATCCCATGTGATGATACCACGGCAGTACCACAAGTAGTAATCGGTGCTGTGTTCTGTTACGAAACGCGAGCCCCTCCACAAGCTGTCAGTCAAGATGGCGGCTAAGAGAGGTGATGAATGTTCGAAACGGTATGTAGTGATGAGCTGGGGCTCTTGTGAAGGCACACAAAAACCCACCTCCAAGCACAGCATGGGGTTGGATGTCACTCTTAGGCGATCACATTCACGTTTGCCCGCCAGTGTGTCTGTCATCCCAAGGCGTAGCATTCAGTCTAGTAATTGAAGCATCTGATAGGAGCAGAAACTGTCGCGAAATCACGCAATTAAGGGACTTTGTGGGGAAACGGTGACCGCAGCACAACTGTAGCGATCGCTGGGTATCAAGACCGCTTTCTGTCATTGACTAAGGTCCGATTCAAAATGAAGCGGACCGTCCGAATATGGATCAGGCGTGCCGCCAACTTTGGAGGGAGCAGTTATTCGCTGAGATAAGCGTGCAGATGTGGTTGCATATGTCGACAAAAAGGTACAGTTTACAACCCTTAAAATATGTGCTTCTTTTCTTTCAGTGTCCATTTCGTGGCCCACAGGAGGATGACATCTATAACAGTATCGTACGGCACGAGCCCAAGATCCCTCTCCACGTGGGTCCGCGAGCCGCAAGCATAATTAGTCAGTTTATGACAAAGGATCCCAGTCGACGTTTGGGTGTTTCTGCAGCAGGAATTTCGGACATCAAGAGGCATCCCTTCTTCTCTGGTCTCGACTTTGATGCACTGCTAGCAAATCGGGTGAAACCCCCGTTTATCCCCAGACTTGTAGGCCAATTCTTGACCAATGCAAATGCTATTGACAAAAAATAATGCATTTAAGTGATGTTAATAGTGTAAATACAAAAAAATTAGATAAATTCTCTGAGACACTTATTATCTGAAGCTGATAACAACACTAATGGGGCAGATCACTAATTTAAACCGAGTGGGATTATCCCACTTAGATAACTAACGTATTCCATTTCGTATTTTAGGTTGGTATAGAGGACGTGTTCAACTTTGATAGGCACTGCACAAGCGAATTACCTCGACTCACGCCAGCAGAAAGGTCGATCTCTCCTCGAGATAATCGGCGCTACTTCGCAGATTTCGACTACACGAATGATGGCTCGACGATTCGTTCGAACTATAATAAACCACAGCCTTGTTAGCTCTTTTAAAATTAATTTTTTGAAGCTGACTAGATGTACATTAGCTAACTGTAAATTGAAGTGGAGTGGACCAAATAAAGTACTTCTGCATGTCCTCTTAAATTTGATTATTTTCGACTTCACCGGGATGAAGATATTGTGCTCTGTACACATTGCATTTTTCCATTATAAATTTTTAAATGAAAAAAATTATTTTTAAGCACTTATTCCCTCGTCTACCTGATGCCGTTCTGAAAAAATTCGTCCAGTACCAAGGACACCAAAACGTTTAAGATAAGTATGTTTAAGAAATTCGCAACAACTACTTGTTTGTTTATAAAAGCGATAATTTGTTTTACTTTAATCAGCTGCCTAATGTTGTGACACTAAATTTTGTTGTCTTATACCTCTGCTTTAGTTTTACTGCGCTACTACAGTTGCATTGATAGTTGTGTACACAGTACGATTGGTACCTGTCGCGCTACGCTCTTTATTCTTGTGCAGTCGAGTATGTTACACCAAAAATGTTGCAACTGATATGATAAGGTTTTAACTTTTAAGGTAGATCCCTGTCACCTTTAAGTCGTAGAAAGGAGCAAGTAAAAGTTATCATTACAATTTTAGATATCATGCCTAACTTGTGAGAATTTAAAGACAGTAAGTGAGTGGCTTATCTTTTTGGCAGTGGTTAGGAAGAAATGGTCATGATTTTTATTTTTTGTTCTACCTTCTCATGAAACTGTGGCTAGAAATCTGCTAACTCGTTCGCAGTCTATGGACTTTGAAACAAATGGTTAAATGAAGACATTAGATGTAACACAATAATTGTTTGTCTCTCGGTTTTTGTAAACAGCTACTTTTGACTTGGGCTTTATACCACGCTGGGTGGGCTGGCCTTTGAACCATGCCAGTAGCCCAAATACTGTCTCAGTTGCCGAGTATATATATTCTGCCCGAGTATTATGACTTCTTCCGTCTTCAGGGAAGCTGTGGGACGCTACATCAGGAGATTTATAGTTTAATTTGGGGCTCAGTTGCTTTTTTTACAATTGTGGTGACCGAACGTCAATTACATACCGCGACAAATATGTTCCTGGATTAAATACACTAGAATTGCAACAGATGTAAGTTGTTATTCCATTTCTCTATCTTAATTGCGTTCGAGTGCCATTTTGGTTGTATCAGAATACGAAAACTTATTTAGCAACCTTATAAGATATTTTATGCAAGCACCTTAAAAAGTTAGAATGCAAATGAAAAGAGGAGTTCAAAGGTGGAATCAATTGTAAAGCTTCACCAACTAATAATTGTACCGCAGACCTAAATCGCTCAAAATGCCGGGACAGCTGTCGGCGGTAACCTGGAGTAAGTCAAGTCCACTTGCCTGCATGGCATTCGTGATGCCGAAGAGACTCTAAGCTCTGACTTTAACCCTGTAGTGCTTTTTGCCGATCCTGCTAGACCGCGACCTTATCCTGTCAGCAATGTGTGTAAATACCAATCCATTATTAACGCGGACAGCATTGAAGTTTTCCTTTCTTTTCAGCGGGCAGAGTTACACGACACTCATTAGCTATTTCTTACTCCTGGTATCTTCTTGCCCAATTTTGTTAGGAATCTAGTAAAAATCAGTTTCGTTAATTAACCACGGCCCTCGATAAATAGTTTGAGGTGGATGAAAGGCTCGGACATTTTACCACATTTTTAATCAAAACTTCGTTATTTGTTGAATCTTTGCTCCAAGACATAAAGGTGGACAAAAGTTAACTTGATGAAAGGTTACCTGATATTTATAAAGGGTGCTGAAAAAAACTAGTGAAAAGGGAAACACTTCCAGTTGTTTAGCCCACAGCTTGAGGAGATCTCTTGGAGGATTCTCTTAAACGCAATGGTAAGAATCTTCAAACTTGTGGCTACTATCGCATCACGCTCAACTTGTGGAGCCGATTGATATTCTGTACCGATTCTAAGGTTCGCTTTTCTTCTTTATGCTTGACCTGGAAGATTTCACTTGATGATCCTTCGAGAAATTTCACTACGACGCACATTTTTCTTGTAGACACTTTTTAACCATTTTAAGCTTTCGCTTTGAGGGTTTCATTCCACCTATTGAAGTGATAGGCTGTTAGAAGACTCTCTTTATGTGGGTATGCTTAGTGCACACTTTGAGATCATCGCTGATTCAGAAATCCTGAGCTTCGTCCATGATCTTCCAAGTCATTGGCAAAAATCTTCACTGACATGGTTTAACGGTTAAATATTGCACTGGTTACTTACTCTTCTGCCATTAAACTCCATTATACCGAGTTCATTCAGCATTCTGGCTGCCTATCTCAACGTTCTAGTGCTGAAGAGGCACGTACCGCGGACTGCTCACTTGCCAAGTAAGTAGTGAGTTCTGAAGATAATCAAGCTCGTAACAAGGTTGTATTAACCTACTGCAAAAGTGGTGGTGGCGGGATGCACAAAAAAGGTTTACAGAATTCTGAAAATGTTGTGAGAAAACCCTAGTTACACTTGATGGATCACCCCGTCTTGAAGTTTTGGTTGTTGTTTTTTTGTAACATTGAGATCAACAGTCTTAAAATACTTGCATTTTTTCGACTGCTTTGTATGCTGGTGATCAGACCCTAATCGTGACACTTAGAAGACTTCCAGAATTCGCGCACATTCATTGCACAAGGACTTGGTCGATGACAACACATGCTTGCTGACTACCGTGGTCCGTTCCTGAACGGATACAGGAAGTTAATTGTTCTTTACTTGTATGCTACTTAGAAATTTACCTCACTTCCTTGCCAAGGATAAATTTCCTCCCAAAAATAGCCCGAAAAACCCAGCTAAGTAGTTACATGTCCATTTGTGACTGTTACTGGAACGCATTTTATTATGCAGAAGGTCGGAACTTGGTGACATCTTCTGACAACATCTAGACATCCGAAATCCAATGGTCAGACTGTAAACTTTAGTTATGCTATGGAGAGTGCAATCGAATCTGCGAAGCCGTTCAATTTTTTGCCTAACGAGAATGTGGTGTAGACCAATTCATTATATAGTATCGCAACGCTATTCACTTCACATTCAGAACCACTCCAGAAGGAGTACCGTTCCCAAGGGAAATATGCTTGGCATTACCTAAACCAAAACCTGATTCTGGAGGAACTACCTCAGCCAACTGATAGGATATATTCTCAGAAATATGGACATACGGACGCATTAAATTCTGGACTTAGACGGCTCTTTTGTCCACTGAAAACACATTGATTAAAATGTAAATAAGTGCTCTACTTTCAATCCTCCTACTTCTGACACCATTTATGGTATTCTGTAGTCTACTTTAGTTCCCACTTTAATACGATGGCTGTTTAAGTCATGGTTTCGGTGTAGGGCCACCCTTGACTTAACCATTGTACCATGCCAGATGAGCTGGCCTTCGAGTCATGCCAGTAGTCCAAACACCTTCAACATGTCAAATATATATATTCTTTCGTCCTCAAGGAAGTCTCGAGGCGCTACACCCAATGCTGTTGCTGGAGACAGGACTGCAGACGAACTGGAGCAGTTTGGGGATTCTAGAGCGATTCGAGGTAGAACGGTGGGAAAGCCACAAAATATCCGACTTCTGGTTAAACCGAAGTGCATGCAGTGACACCCACCATGTCTGATTTCTTAACTCCTGTCTTACTCTACCGCTGTAATACCAAGACCATTTGGACACAAGATAATTTGGTTCCCGTCATGTGGGCTATTCCAACTTCACAAAACAAGTTCAGGTTCGAGCATATTGCATTTCGTAGCACATGCAATAAAACTATACAAATGTCTTTCCTGTAAAATGCATGTGGTACCGGGAGACGTTCCTAATTCGTACTTGGCATCACCACTTTTGTTCATTCTATTTAAAAACTTACAGCATGTGTCAATCTAATTCATTTTTAATATTCGGAGAAACAAAGTACCATGACCACCGTATCTAATGGTGACCCCAATGGGAATGGCAACTACTAGGCCTTGACAAATTAGCCGCTTAACTAATCTATTAAAACAGGTTAAATTTAAATTAAGAGTTTTTTTGACTGTTTATAACCTCAATTTGTTTTTTTAGCTATCAAATAAATAAAACAATCATCATCCCCAAAGTAATGTTGTTGATGATGTGCAGGAAAGGTCCTTTGTGTGACTCCTCAGTGTGGGCTCGCAATGTTAGTTTTTGCCCAGTTCTTATGCAGACTTTAACATACTTCTGAGCATAATTAATAAAACATGTGGGCTTTTGAAGTTTTTTATTGGTTTTAATATATGCCTTTCGGTGCTCTTCTCCTGGGGTTGTCTTTAGCTGTCGGAATCTTTGTATTGTGAAGAATTCTATTTTCATTTAGGGAGCCTTTTTTACAATATGTATCTAAATTACAACAACTCGACTTTGGTAATCTTGGGCAGTTTTATATTGGTGGTATATTTAAGGTTTGTAGATTCTTTTTGGATCAGCATACTAAAGCGCTTGGAAATCATGCAACTGTGTTTTCTGGTATTTAGTACTCGTATTGCGCATTTTGTACCCCTGAGTTCGTCATTAAACTAAAGAATTTTCGCGTTGTAGAACTAATTTGTCAGCATGGTAATAAAGAGAAGGGAGACACCCACAATCAACTGCGTTTTAAGCGAAATAAAACTGTAGACAGGCCTTTTGAAAAGTCCTTGGTGCTTGCATTTTAGAATGTAGGTGATGGCTACTAAATTGTCCACATGCCACTACGCCTGCGTGAATCCTGCTCTCTCCACCTCCCTTCAATCGGCTGCCACTGTCAGTCGAATCTTTCACCCGAATTTGCTGGAGATCGCCTGCGATTCGGTCATTGGGCTTCTTACAATTACACAATCTGTTCGCTTCGAGCCCTTTGCGAAGGCTTGCATTGTGGAAAATGTTTTCGACTACGTTCGATGCCTCTCCACACCATCCATCCCTCTGACTGTCACGGAATTGTGCACGCGTGTTGTAGCTGGTCTTCCGTTAAAACTCAGGCCCGGTACACATTTTTCTTTATTCCTCTTATTATCTTACCAGCTACAAACCTAGGTTTTTGATCTACTTTTTTTTCTGCAAACACAACTTCTGCTGTTCCTGAGTAGCTTCTTAGTTAAATGCAACCCATAATCTACTAAGCAGCAGTTGACCTATGCTTCATTTCCCTATTATTTTGTTGAGTGATTATATTCCTCAATACTGTCGCCACTAGAGCCGCGCATATGTGCCACGCAGATTTTTTTAAACTGAATCGCATGTTATAGTATTTAGCACGTACTCTATCTGTTTACGATAGCTGATTGCTTCGACTCATGTCGCAAACGGAATAACAGGACCTAAAACAATAAAATAGGCGTAGAATGTTCATAGCCTGAGAATAAATTTTCAATGGTCAAGTTGGTTAATGGCATCTATTTTTGCACAAAAAAGTGGCAAAATGTCCGGGTGTAATGGTTGATTTGTCTTTACTGGAGAGCGTGTTAATGGTCTTCTCCACAATGTTAGTAGCTGGTTTTATTGAGAGTTTGGATTGAACTATTTGTTTTTAAGCAGTGCAATATTCACCTAAAGTAATATTTATCTTTTAGACGATAAGCAATTGGATGAATACAGAGTGCTTGCGGAGAAGCGTGGAAAAAAGCTGTCTGTTTTGCCAGTGGCTGAAAAGATTATGAACAATATGCGGGTCATTGATGGTCGTGTGGATACGAGTACAACCTACCTGTTTGTTCAAATATTGGAACACATACTCAGCAGCATTGTACAGGTGAGTTTCAGGCAGGTTCATATACATTCTCTCGCTTAGACCGCTCTCAACTATCGTTCCGAGCTGGGAGTACTCTCTGAATGCGCCATCACTTCGACGGATATCCAGGTTCCTAACTCCTTAATTTATGCGTATTTTTTGGCGTTGTGTTTCTACTTAATGCACTTTGATGATTTCATACTCTTTTTGTGGGTAAAAATTAGCAACCTTCACGTACACTTTGCCTTAAACTGACCAATCTCGGTAATGATACGGGAATGGAAATCGCCATCATTGACAAATTTACAAGACGTATTTCGTCAGTGTGCCAGTTGTATTGCCAGGATTATTATGTTTGTAAGCTTCCAGGATTTTTATGGTAGAAGCAGAACTTACTTACTAATTAGCATAGTTCAGTTTAATTCATTTTTTATTACTGGGTCATTGTAGGTGTCGTCTGACCCCGTTTAAACTTATTTGATACGTGGGAGTAAACATTCTCCTTTCAGATGTATTTATTGTCAAGTTCAGGTTTTTTGATTAGATTAAGGCGATATGCAATATGTCTAAAATAATTGACAAAATAATCTTTTAAGTACTGGTTTGAGCATTCGTTACTAGATGCTTGCCCAAATCAATGCACGTTGCCACAGGATTTGGTGGTGGAGGTGATTTGAGCCATAAAGACATCGTTTGTGGTTTGCTTGCTAAGAGAAGTACATTGACTTGCTGAAAAATGCGTGTTCTGTGTACACCTTTTGGCTTCACTCCATTGACAGCATATCATCAGTCTGTTGGGTACATCGCCTGTGGAGGTGTTGGGTGGTAAGGTACCGCTAGTGCGACGCAACACTGACACTTATGAGGGCTGTCTGCGCGACCTTCAGACCTTTCTCAAGACCTCCAACTGGTCGCTCAGCCTTGTCACACGCATCTTCCTTGAACCCCTCTCGGGCATTCTCAACGCTCTCAGTAGCGAGTCCGCCTCCACCTCCCCAGCTGCTGCCAGCACCGATCTTGGCCGAGCCGCTACCGCTGCACTTGCTGTTTTGAAGATGGCCAAGAGTCTTGTGGGCGATCTCACCATCCTGGCCGAGGTCTCTGATGACATATTTGACAGCACTGCACATCTCCTCAACTACTGTTTACAGGTTCGTCACCCTCCTCCCATTCCTTCCTCCCTTTGACATGTGAATAGTCTGGCACTGCCTCGTTATTTGCTAGGTGTTCCGGATTTAAAATTTTCGCTCATTTTGATAAAATCTTGAAATTCTCCGGTCTTCTCATTCGGCCCTTCTTTGAGATACTGAAGCACAAAAACCCATATTTAATCTAACACTGTCTCGTTTCTGATTTGATTGTTCGCCATTAAATACTCACCCTCTTGACTATTGTGCTCAGGTTGGTTTACCTCCGTCCACCGTTTGAGGCGCTGAGGTACAAAGATGTATAGTTGATGTGGCGACACCTCGCTATTGGCAATGACATTGTGTTTGACATTTCTGCTCATTCTCTCAACTACTTTCCCCAGATTGAAGCGCAAGAGTATCGAACAGTATACTTAGTCTAACGATACCTCATTTAAAATGTCAGCTTTTTTCCCTGTTTCACGCAGATTGATCTGTTTATGACTCTCTTTAAAGCACTGTCAAGCTAGGCCATTAGATGTCATGGGTCTGAGGCCTTTAGAGCCATGTTTAGGAGCACTTTCACTTGACGATTTTGCGTGTTTCCATACTTCCTGTGAATGTAAATCACCGTAATTGATTCCGGCATAGGGCAAATTATAGAAGTACTTCCTTGTGAGGCCGAAAATCCCCATTATGGTCCACTATGACTTCTGTCATGGGATGTTGCTGAATTGCCGACGCCTAAAACTATAAACTAGACCTTTTGCAGACGAGGGCGTGGCGTTTAAACAAGCGAGTATACTGGTCACCTGTCTGGGGGTAGCTAGCTCAGCTTTGTTGGAATAAGTCACGTGACCGGTGAGTTGAAGTGTGTAATGTTAGCGGACTTTTCCGTGCTGTGCGGACAGGATGAGCGTCAGAAGGGTTCTCTTTTCCCTTGCTAATGGGATTGCTAGAAATGAATTATTCAGCAGGTTAGATTTCGTTTTCCAGAAGATATGCTTAACTGAGTTACCCATTATTGTTCATAAAATCGGACAAAGGTTCCCTTTTCATTGGTACAGAACGTTGAACGAGAAAGTAATGACTTACGGCACGGACTTAAGTTTCTCTTTTTTGACAGCTTTTTAAAACCAGTGTGATACATCCTCCTCTCGGGATGTTGCATTTCTTAGTGCTTTAGGCAGACCCAAGGCGAACTTCTGTAAAGTTATTCACTCCCACTCTGTGCTGCAAAGTCCACCTTCCCTTTGAAACTGGGTGGCTAGTAAGGCTACGCCTCGTTGTACGGAGGATCACTCTATTCGGTGGTTGGGAATGTAAAAGTACCGCTCTACAACACCATTTCTAGTTCAGAATTACTGAGGAACGCCAGCAATGTCTTAGCCTGTACGCGTACACTGGCTCTAAAGAACTCCAAAGTAAGCTAAAACGTTATCCACATTGCCTGTTGTCGGATGCCTTTTTTTAAAGGACAGCAAAGGAGGGTTATCGGTTTTTGGAATGCTCTCCATTAAGGCTTATATTTTGATCTTTTCCCAATGTGACTCTAGCTTGTAATTCCCATGTTTCTCGAGTATTTTATCTCTAGACGTGAAAAACTTGGTTTTAATAATCTCTAGCTACTTCTCAGTCGCGTTTTCTAACCGTCCACTGGCTACTTGGGGTTGTGCCCAGAAGGGGTAGCAATCGTCACCTGTAACTTAGAGAACTATCATCAAGGGAGCGCGGAGGGTGAGGATGAGAATGAGGCATAACCTCCCTCCCATACTATGGCTTTTATAAACTCTTTCCACGGGTAAGGTTTGCGACAGTATGAGATATGAGGCCCTATATTTCTTTGTAAAAATCGGACTTCCCTCCAACTGATCTACTGTTTCCACCCGCTTGGTGTAAGTGGTACTGTACTGCTTTATCATCACCCATGTTGGGGATTACTGAATGGTCTCGACACATCAATCTGGAATTGTAACACGTGATTCTTCACTGACATCAAGAGCAGAGGGTCCTTCGGAATTGGTTGCATCATTATTAGGTGACTCATCACCAAAATCACTGCGGTCGTTTAAACCACTTCATTCCGGGCGGTATGTTCTGCTAGTATATACCACAGATAACTTGAAGAAAACCTGGTTTGTCTGTTTGGAACCAAGTTGAAGGTGGATTGGTGAGCAGGGAAGCTTGGATCACCTCACATCCACTGCATTCATCAACAAAAGTGATAGGGAGCGCAGTGGAGAGTGCCATACCAATAGACTGACACGCTGATAGACACCTTGCAGTGAGGTATATCAAAAACTCCACAAACTTGCCATCTGATGAATTAGGCGAATAACAGCGTATAAGGTGTCACGAATTGTTGAGACGCCTCCTCATTTTTGCTAATTGAAGGAGCCAGCAGAGGCGGATCTGTATCAGGGCTTCGCCTACTACGCAGAGACTCTCTTCACCAACGACTGTCATCAGTGGCTCTCGGTGCTCTCGGAGTGTCCCAAAATCTTCTTTACCCTTCGCAAAAGCCACCGACGGATGATAAACACCATCTACAGGCAGGTATGCGCCATCTTTCTCGTCTTCAGACTACCTTTGATGCAATCCGCTTCATGTACCCTGTTTGGTGAAACTGGTTTTCTTTCACGTATTCCTCTCGGGAGTTTTCTAAAGTGGTCCGGTGGGCTGCATGTTTCAAATCCCCTTGGGATGTCTCATTGCGAGTAACCGGAGTCCCAATTCCGACTGGTCTGAGCACACAGTGCGTCACTTATTTGATGATAGAAGTGAATATTCCCACTCGAATGACACAATCAAACCACCACCTCTATTGCCTGCAACTTAAAGGGTTATATATTTTGCAAGAGATCTGTGTTTTGGCGATCTTGACGGTCTTAGTAAGCCTTGGTAACAGTGCAAGGGGTATCAGTAAAGGGGGTTAAGGTATCATGATCGCACCCCAAACGCTGACTCACATTGGCTCTGAGACCTTGTAAAGGCATGACGCGTCTGTCTTTGGCCCTGAGTCCAAAAACTGGCACCGATAATGAGAATTAGGTGTGCTTGGCTTGTGGTCTTGGCTACAACCTCATACTGGCTTGGAAAGGATAAGGTCGTATTGAGTTCCACAGGAAGCTTGACTTTTACATGTTGTTTTCGAATGTAAATGCTTTTCTTCTGATAGACTTATTCAACGGCTTTGCCATGATTACCGTTGGGCGATCACTGAGAATGTCTACTTTCTAATTTTACCACGAACGTAGCATGCCCAGTCAAGATGAGGAGCTCTTTTCGTGTTTAAGCCCCGAAGGATTCGATGAAGGTTGACAGTGGAACAATCTCAAGATCTGTGTTTAGACTGTCTATGTTCGGCAAAAGTTTTTCCTCTCTGTTAGTTGGCGCGTCAGTGCGTTTAAATAAACTGACTTTCACTTAGAGTTACTAACTCTATCGTCAGTTTGAAACCTGGGTTAGCTGAATTTATTTCGTCTTTTCCCACCATTAGGTCTCCCTTCGCCATATGCCTGACCTGGAAGTGCGCTTTGCTGATCCCCACACCTGTCCGCTGTGCACCGCAACAGTGCCCGAGTCAGCTGCCATGCCAACGAGTCATCACCTCTCCGCCAATGGCAGCAGTGGAGGTGGCGGTGGTCTGTTCTCTCACTCAGTGTTCCGTCGCCTCTCAACGCCCAAATCGCCTACCCTACCCACCTCATCCTCCAGCTCCGGGGAGCGATCACCGCCAGGCGCCCCAGCAGTGCCCCGACTCATCGTCGCACCAGGCGCGAGTGGTGGTCCCATCCATGGCGGTGGTTCGCGCACTTGTAGTCAAATGGTTATCGCGTTTAGATACCTCCTCCCTCGGCTGCTACTCATGCCGGTCTACCAGATTCTTTATCTGGCGGACCTACTCGATGTGAGCGTCTTTCTCTGGCACGCTTTGCTAAGGGAAAGCGGACATCAGATTCGCTTTTAGATGGACGTTAAGTACAGTTAAGAGTTATTTGTTCCCTTTCACTACCACTAGGCTTATCTGAGACAGAATGTCATCAAAAATGGTGAAGATAACCGTGGTGTTTGACTACCTTTAAGGGCATTTGGCTAAATTTAGTGTTGTAGACTGAGATTCAACAATAAAGCAGCGATTTTAATGCGTTCATGCATCTCCTTGCGTGGCAACTACTCATGCTGGTACATTATATACTTTATCTGTTGAGTTTATAGAGGAACGATACCTTTTTTGCTACAATGCGATGAGATCAGGTTTATTCTTGATTGGAACTCGACTAGGGAGCAGAATTTGACATTTCTATGTGATGACGTTTCGCAAAGAATTGTGGAGACGGCCATCAACGCTGTTTTTTAACTCTAATTCAAGTTGTAGATGTTTGAATTTCGTCTTTTCGATTGCTAACCTTCGATTTTACCGAGGTTAGCTAGCGTAGATAGCTTTACTACACTTTTTAGTGAACAAACAACTTTTGATTTGCATGTACGAGGTTTCCTTATACTGGCGATTCTCCCTCTATCCGCGAATATTGAAATGATGCCTCATTACAGAAATGGATACAGGAACACCCACATAGACTCCAGTAAATCATTCACCAAAGTGGCCGTCAATCTTAATTGTTGCCTCTATGTGGCTTGTAAACCAACTGAATCCGCTTTTTACAGTCTGTTAGTATCAACCGTAACGTCCTTAGTGTCACTTATTAACACTCCTTTAGGCAACTCTCCAAGATGTCTACGTGGTACTAGCCAATGCAGCTCCATTTGAAAGAGCTGAGGAGCCACGAGTTTTGAAAATTCTCATGCCGATGGGAGCAATTTTTTAGGAGACATCGCATTTAAGAGCCCGATAATTGCTTTCTGTGTCTGGATCCAGACTGTTGCTTTGTTTCGGAGACACTATGGTCAAATCGTGAGGAAGCATAACTCGATGTGCCTTTCTACTAGACTTGGATTATGAAAGTACTGGATTTGTTCCCAACAGACCAAATGCGTGTCAGAGGTCAGGATATTTTGTCCGGTGTTAAATACAAACAAATTGTGTTCTATATGGGAAATGCTGAACCTTTTTGCCCTCTGTACTAGTTCCAAAGCTATAAATGCAATAAACCGCATCTCTTTATTGCACGTTATTACCTCGTTCTGCACCCAGATTGTATGGAATCCCTAATTTGGTCAAAGTGTAACGGAAGCGATTTTAGACGGGCAAGTAGTTAAATTATGACGCTAAGATCCATCCCAGTCACTTGGATTAAGCTCCTTCTCCTCCCTCTGCCGCTGGTCTTCAAAGCATACTTCTTTGGGCGTAAGGACTTCCCCATTAGGTAATGAGGAGGATGGCATAGTCAAGTGGCTCTCTGGTATGATTTTCGTTGACGTTTCGTAGTAATCCCTGTGTCACTGCTTTTGCCATTTTCTGCATCGCGAATTCATTCCGACTTCCCAAAATGCCGGTAATAGACATTTCATACTGTTTTGTACAGTGACTTTCAGAGTAGTCAGCATACGAATAGAAAAGTGGTAGAATGATTGTATTATTAGCTTTCCGCTATTGTATTGTGTTGCCAGTCCAGTAATCTGAATTACTTTTTTTAGTGCTGTTATCCGCGCTTTTGTTTTGATCTGTGGTAGTGAAGACTCACGTCATGCCAAGTTGAATGGAGTTCCGATCGAGGCTTTTTGAAGCTGGCTTTAATAATCTGAGATAATGATTATACGGGAGCATGAAGTGGACAGAAGGCAGTCGCTCCGGATCACATGGCATACATTATTTTCCTCCGGTACCATGTAATCCAAGTGTATGTTTTTTGTCCTACCACAACTTGGAATTTCAGGAAGCACATTCACCTATCAATACCGTGCTTTATTTAGCATATGTTTGGCAGTGGGAACCTCCAATCCTGTGGGAATTGTTTTAGCTGAAAAATGGAAAGAAATATATTAATGGTAAGGGGATGCGCCTTGTCACCTCGTAGTCTGCTGCCAAATGGCTCTTTACTCGCCGTTCTTGAGGGCATCCTCTGATCTAACACTTTGACTTTTGACATTGATAGCAGAAGTCGATTTTATTAACTTCCAATTCTTAGCAGCAAGGAGAAATGTATGAAGGAGGCACAAAGGCATTAGTCCGTCCGGCTTTTTGGTCACCCGATATGCTGTGACGGTTTTCCAGCTTTCCGGCGCCATCAAAAATGCCACAGAAAAAGCTGTAAAGTGTGTGATTGAAAGGAAATACAAGTTGCAAACGGTTGATTCTCAGTACGCTTTCTTAATTAATAAAGGCAAATGTTTTATTTTTTTTTTTTTGTTTTGTTCGAACTTTTGCTTTTATTAATGACCGCTGTCATTGGAAGCTGTCGTTGCGATTTTAAACGGGTTTTCTAGTCTGCCTCAATAATGTCGAAATACTCCAAGTTAATGTGCTACATTTTGACAACCGACAGTGTTTAGTCGGTATTTGCCCCAAATAGGCCATAACTGATATCTCACGCTTGGGTTAAGTTGTTAATGGACAATCCTCGGAGGCAGGACCTCAATTCATTTTTACCTAGTTGGATGTGACACATTTGTGACGTGCAGATTCAGGTGGGAAAATCGGAGCCATTGACTCGACTTTTAAGATAGGTTGAAGTAACGAAAATTCTCACTACTACTGAGATTTGAGATTCCTCTATGAAGTAATTGACGCTTCGAATGCAAGATCTCTGAAAGTGTAGAAATGCGTTCTTCAAAGGTTTGTTACTTCTCTTGTTTGAAGCTAATTCATGTTTAACTGACAACCCTCCCCAAAGCTGGTGTTGCATTCATGAGCTCGGTTGGTCCAGACAATCGGTAGTAGTCAAATTACTAAACCTCCTCTCCATAGGTTGGAGGGTCAAGCATCTCATCACTGCTGAAAATAGTTTTATCGTGAAAAATTTGGCATCACAAATACAGGCCTTCTAAACACTCAAAACCGTGTTTTAATGGAGATGTGTAACTTTTTTTTCAACGTTCGATTACATCTGGCCGACAGTCCTCGTCAGTTTTTCTACTTTTCCCGAGGTACAAAGCTAAACCGAGTATTTTAGGGATGGAAGCTTGGAAACTTCATTGGTGTTGAGGAGGAGCTCTTTTATAACTCTGCTTCCTTCCCCTCTCCAACAGGAGTTGTGTACCTTCCCACATCAGGATGCCCAGGAGCAGGCTATCCTGCGCGATACCGCTTCGATGCTCTACAAGACACGCAGGTCGGTGGCGCAGGAGCTGGCTCACGCCACCGAGACCACGGCTTGGATCCACACCCACCTGCCACGACTGAGCCTCCTCCTCGAGACACCCCTCTCCACCAAACCCGCTTTCCTCCTCCCTGCGGAAGCTCACGTTCGTCTGGCCGAGGTCATCGCTGCCGCGAAGAACGCCAGCAGCAATAACTGCGACATAGCGCACTGCCGACTCTCTGTTAACGACTACATCATGTGTAGGCGAAATGTTGCTGCATTCACTTAACCTTCTAGTGATTTAGACAACAAGCTGTCTTAGCCCAAGTCTACAGAACCATGTCTTGTAGTGTGGGAAGATTTCAAGTTAAATCAGTACCTGACTTTATCGGTAGGCACAAAGAGGGATGCTACTGTTGCAGTGCCACAAGTGGTTTTTAGGTGGCAAATTTGCCCTACTTCGAGTACCGGTAGCCTGTTTACATGCCGAGGGCCAGACCAGTCCATGCACACTTCATTAAGGCGGTGGACAACAGCGGTAGAATGCATGCGTGGGACAGTGTGTCCTGGTAGAACCTCCTTTTGAACGAGGACGCAAAATTCGTGGGTTTTCGTCACCATGGGAATCTAAGCATATTGACGTACTGTGATGAAACATTCAACCGCTGATAAATGGAATATTTGGATGCTTTGAACGTTTCAAAGAGACGATCCCATCCGTGGAGGGTCCGCTCCAAGGCACAACATAGCGGTCATTCTTGTGAATGTGGAATGAATGTCGCCGTACAATTGTATAAAAAAACGAACTTTCGTGTTGGAATGGTGGATTCACTCATTCACAATTATTAGCATGTTGGGTACTAACATGGATTTCCTCGGAGCATTGATGACGATGTGAAAGAGGCTGTTCTAGGATAGTTCAGCCAGCCTGATATTTTCATGTCAAAGTTTTAAAGGTATTAGGGCACCTGATCCGAGTCACTTCCCTACTTGATTTGGCATGTGATGACGAGGTTAGGGACGCAGCTGTATCTACCTTTGCTCTTCTATTCGATCCTGATTAAATCACATATCTCTTCAGGTTGGTTTTTTCTGCGCCACAGGGCAAGAGGTTTATCTTTGTCTTCTTCTTGATCTTCTTCCTATTTGAGCTGCTTTAGGTAGGTGGGTCCCTGTTGTAACTGTTATGGGATCTTCACAAATTGGCCAATTCATGTGTGAACAATTGCATCTACGGTGCACCATACGCATAAACACACACACCCAAGGCAAGCATAATCTCCCAGGGATGAAGCGGTGTTTGCCTTGGAAGCATGTGGTGGGTAATGGATGGATTGGCTGGGGATAACCAATGATATGCTCGTTGCCTCTAACAAATACTGGAATTGGAAAGCATAAAGGGCCCTTATCCTCACAGTTTAGCCATTCAGTCGGCTCGTTGGAAAACAACTTAAACTGGACAGCTTACTTTTATCAAGTATTTGAAACTCGTTGTCATCTACTATTATGGTATGCGCGTGGGTGGGTGGAACCGATCGGCTTACTCTTTCACGGTATCTGTCCGATTTTAACTTGCTAATTGCGGCATGTGACTTGCTGTTATAGTGAAAAGCTGAGAATTTCTGGTTTTAGTTTATCATCGTCTAGTGATTCATCTCCGAGATCACTCTAATTGTTTAAGCCACTTAATGCTGCGTAGTAGGCTCTGCTACCGCATACCACAACATAATTGGAACTGAGTTGAACGTTTCCTCTCTCTCTCTCTCAGCTGGCGTCGTTCAAGTGCGGCAGAATCCAGCCAAGACTAGTCTCTCCGATCGTGTGGCCTACCTCTTCACCGATTGCCTCCTCCTCCTAAAACGTTCTGGACAGCAGCGTCGGGTAGGTTGCAACACCCTTACCAACGTCGCTATGGCAGCAGCCGCAGCCCTGACCAATCCTTCCTCGTCCAACTCAGCTGCCTCCGGCAGTGGTCTGGTCCTCAAAAAGGGTGTCCATTTGGCTCATTTCCACCTCATCGACCTAGGGATGCAGATCAATCCCGAGAGTGGTGGTAAGGATTAAAACTGCTACGTACTAGATTAAATCTCCCCAACGCGGTCTCCTAGACTATCTCATTGAGGCATGGTCTTCGCCACGGATTTAACGTCTAGAGTTAGCAGTGATCAGAAAGTCATGCAAACAATACGATGACCGAATTGCAACAGATTACGAGACCTGCTTAATTAAACCGATCATCAAAACAAGTATCCTTTCAACAGTGTTACACTACTTCGTCACGTATTTTCCAGCTATCTTGGTCATACATTGTCCAGCTAAGACAGCATTATCTTCACCGGTACAGAAGCGGCCTTTCTGTTTGAACTGGAGTGCTGGCGCGATGTGATAGTAGTGTCGCGTCACCACCAAAGCATGAAATCGGAGCAATCGAAGAGGCAACCGGAACATCCACCCTTCTCTACCCTCTCGTTACCCAAACAGGGCAGCGCCGTCAGTCTCGCTGCTCTCGCTCAGCCACCTGCTCATCGACTCTCCGGTTCCTCCACCGACCTCAACACCCTCTTTGACGACGCCCCTGCCGCTACCTCCACCGGTGCCTACATCGGCGAGACCATCGCCAATTCCTCCGCTCCCGCTAAACGCATTGTCTTCAGCCTCAAAACTCCCCAGGAGAAAGCCGATTGGCTTGCCACACTCATTGGAATTCAGCGGAAAAGGTGAGAGTAATGCACACTCCTGCTGACTGTTACCTAAACCCTCTGCACCGTTTATAGCATCTTCCAACGCTACCTCCGTGAGCTGCCGAAACAAGAAATCCCCTTGATTCTTCCCGATCCAGACCGGTATTGGTGAGCTCCTGAGACGCTTTTACGCGCTCACGTGTATGGGTAGAGATGAAAGGGCCTTGTTTCTCTTTGCACAACAGCTTCTCAACACCCGATGCCTCGAACAACATCCTCTTTGAACCGCCGAGAACAGACAGCAGTGCGGAGATCGCCGTGATCCGAGCTGCAACCATCAACAAATTGATTGAACGAATCACCTCACACACGTGCTTCGATAGTAGGACTATTCGCACGTTTCTACAAGTAGGCTTCCACAGTAACTCGGAACATCTTAACTGGGTGGAAGCTAATGGTTGAAATTGTATTTGTAGACTTATCGACGGTATTTAACAGCTTCCGAGTTGGTGGAATTGCTGATTGAGCGATTCAAGGTGCCCCAACCGGACTTTGAGCGCGAGTTTCGTGCATCGTTGGCCAGCAACAGCAGCAGCAACACGAGTGGTTCTGGTATCGACGACAACGCGAGATCCTTCTCCGATATTGCATCTCTTGTATCTTGCATGGAGCTGCGCTTCAATTCTGCCTACAAACGACGCATTCAGTACAGGTATTTTAAATACTTCTTACCTTTCGACCAGCTGATGATCCTGTAGTCTCTCAACTTTCAATTCCTTTGGGGGTCCCACTTGCACTACTCCGCCACAATTAGGGTTTGCTCTCTTCAGAACTGACCCCCAAGATAATCTTCATTGGTACGGACAACTTTTTGATATTCCGTTATCTTCGCCAAGCCTATTCACAATTGCTAGTCTGTATGCTCAGGCTCCATTTCGCCGTTGCGGCCACCAACAATGAAGCAGACACTAATCTCTCAAATACATGTGTCCATAATTGTTTTAAAATTTGTCATACTGAATGTTTACAACATGTCCTTTCACTACAACTGTGACCTACTTGCTGAAGGTCATTATTTGTTCTTGTTTTTATCAATTTTTGGCAGTAGGTCTGCACCGTTTCAACGCAGTCGACAGCGGTGATAAATAATGGGGTTCTACGATCCGCCTTAGATTGTATCACGCATGAAGAATCGTGAACGCATTCATCGTGTTGCATTGTTTGTCGTTAATTTCGGGGAGCTCCGGCGAATATTTGTAAATTCTTTGAATGTGGTTATTGCTTAACGGTCGACTCGCTATTTCCGGCCGACATTGAAAATCTACCAGACTGACGGCTTTGATTTGCCGTTGATTGATTCATCTTCCGGTAGATTTTGGTTTAAAAGACGAGTCTAAACGCCTGATATTACATTGCATCTTGTTCTTCAGGGTCCTAAGTTTCATCAAGAAGTGGGTGCGAAATCCCTCCTACTTCAAGGTCGATTTCGCAGACAACCCAGATCTGCAGCGTCGACTGGAGCAATTCCTCGGTGGCATTGATGCAGTGCCATCCTTGGCCGAAAATGTATCGGCTATTCTACGCTGCCTCCATGGCGATCGAACAAAAGTGGTGCAGGTCATTCGACAATGCGCTCCCGAAAAACTCGACCTCGGATTGGCTCTCACCTTTGACCGTGTTCGTATCACCAATGTGAGTGTTTCGGGCATTCTCAATTGACTAATTGAGGAAAACTCAACTTAATATTCCATAATCTAAACACGTTACCGAGGGAAGGGACAGAAGTCCCAGCTGACTAGCCCTTTAAGTGTCATTTCATATCCTTTCCATAGGTCGTTCCTCCTCCTCTTTGTGCCTAAGGCCGACTAGAGGGCGTTTTTTCCCACTCTGGACGATTGAGTACTCAACACTGATTTTGTAGGTCCATCCTCTGGAGCTAGCTCGCCAAGTGACCCTCTACGAGTGGGAGCTCTACTCGCGAATTGAATTCTGCGAGGTCAATGGAAGCGAGAAGAATTGGGGCGTCAATATGCGGCGCTCTTTGGACTTCTCGAACAAGGTGAATACTTTGTGTAGATCCTACAAGCTCCAGATCATCGTAGCTGAGACGATCAGGCTTGGTTTCATACAAAATATACTAGATTAGTGCAAATAAGTTTGGCGTCCCGAGACTGCCTTGAAGACGAAAGAAGGCATAATACTTGCATAGAATACGAAGTTACCGACGTAGGAAAGGGCTGGGGTGTCAGCTGCTGGCACCTCCCGGAGGCGATGTCACCAGGTAAAAGTATAAGCAAAGAATGTGGAGATTGTTCACTACGTTTTTTATTTCAAATGGCTATTTTTTTGTACCCCTTTGGTGTGGGGGAAATGTCAGTTGTTCTGACTTGGCTAGGCATTTCCTTTTCCACATTTCTCACATTATCACAACCATTGTTTTGTTAGACACACTTTCAGGGCTTGTGATGTGCAAAGTCAAGACGCCAATTTTTTTGGGGGCAAGTCCTTGTATACTTGAGAATGCTACTTGCCAGACTCTCGGAGGAACACCGACCACCACAGCTGACAAAAGATGTGCTCTAATTAGAATCATCCTGCATATTCACACTTGTTTTAATGTTTCCAAACTCAACCAATCTTCTGTCAACAAAATCTGTTGCGAAAGGTTAGCATAAAACGATAAGGAACACGTGTCACATATTTGTGACGTCTCACTCAGGTGAGAAAATCGGTACGTGCGTGTATAATGTAATGTTCATATGGCAATGCCAACTCTTATCAACCATCCTGGCCGTAACCTTGTGCAAAACTGTTGTCAATTTATTTGATTAACGAGGAAGGACTGAGCTTTTGCTATCGTTGTTTATTTACTGCAAACAACAAATTCGGCGATTCCAGTTTCGCCTCCTCCCTGCTGGCTATCACGTTTAGTCTTCCTTGTTGAAAAGTAGTTACGCAATTGTTTTTTATGTTTAAATTTGTAAATCATGTGACAAAAAGACTGACAATCTAAAATTATTGCTGACGTAAGGAGGCCTCCCTTTCAAGAGGTAGTGTGAGGAACACGGTTTGGAAGTGGTGTTGGTTCAACCCTCAAAATCATGTTCAAAGTAGTGATAAAGAAAATATAACAAAAAAGTGTATAAAATGAGATAAATTCACAAAAGGAATCTCAATTGCTTGTAGTTGAGTGTTTCTTAAGTTGTCAGGTTACTGACGCCTATCAGGTGACCTAAAGAGTTCGTGTGGTTCTGGGTGTGACCCTCCACAATGTCTCGCCGTAACTTGGAGGCACTTGTGAAATACGATTGTTTATGTGTTCTGTTGGGAGCAAAAATGGGCGTTAACAACCCTATTGTGGTCTTCACTTCATTTCCCTACATTTGGAGCCTTTTAGTGGGCGTGTGACTCTAGTTCCAAGGCTTTGAGAGGTGCTTTCTCCTCAAATTTGCTGTAAACCTTTTGGAAAATGTTCGATACGATGTGATTTCTGAGCGTACCGCTACGAATCAAATGTCTTAATAATTCTAGGTGATTCAACTGGCGAATCATGTGGAGATAATGCCAGGAAGGAAGGACCCCTTTTATTGTTGATAATAACGAAGTCATGTTTTGCCTCTGGTTGAAATCTTTGAAGATCAGTACGTGAGTAACAACTTCAAGGTATGCTTACTACGAGTGGTGATAAAACAAGTTTGTAGTAGCCGCAGCTGCTAGGCTAAAGGGTACCACTCACATCCGCTGCAAAAAGATTCCAACGAGCTTCAAATGCTCCCAATTTGTTGTTCATGCGTTTTGATTGTTTTTTTTTTATGGGAACGAGTTGTATATTTCATTCTGCCGACTGACTGAGTGAATAAATGACTGGATGGCTTGTGATGGGTAATGAATTCCACATCCCAACGGTGGTTAGGCAGGTAATCACATTATCTGCACATTCTCCTCAAAACATCTCCCAAATGGAAGGTGTGGGCGAAGACCTTCTTTTTGTATTGAGAAAGAGCTGCGATTAGTCAGTCGGTGGGAAGGAGGCGGAATTAGTACGCGGACATAAGTAACCTGTCGGTAAATTAGCCCCTCTTGGCACTTCACTTGAAATGGGAGTGAGGGGGTGGGAGGGAGATAATGCCTTAATTACCTTTCCACCCTTGTTACTGCCTTGTTGATATATCTTCAAGGTGGAAGTGATGATTGCCGCCCATTCTTGGCATTGCCTCCAGACGAACATGTGGGAATTAAGATTGATATATTTATGAAGTGGAATCGGTTAGCTTGTTTCTCGACAGGATTAGATTAGATTCTCGATTGTAATATTATCCGATTAATTTCAGGCAGTCACTTTTAATCGTGGTAATTTTTATGGGGCCAGTTTTTTTTTCAGTGGTCCTGGGACTGCTCAAGCTGGGGCTATGGATTATAAACTGGTAAAAGGTCTGCCGATCTCGGCAGTACTACACGTTGTCATAGGTCAGCAGCTTCCAGCTACCCTCAATCTAGCTGGACCATCGCGTGGTAATTGGAGACGGAATATGCGGGGATAATATCTACAGAAAACTTGGAATGCTTTAAAGACGGCAATGCATAAGTCTGTCCGCCTATCAGAGACGTGGCGCTTCCGTTCACAGCCTTCTGGGCTTCAGTCATTTGTGTGAACAAGCATTTGGAGCGTAAAGATCTGGTCCTGAACGCCTAACTAACCCATAACTTTCCATAACTCGAGAGATGTGACGTGTATACACATCCGTAGAAAGGGAATGGACTGTCGTTTTCCTTTCGCATCCCTGAGAGTCTCTCACAGTCCAGCCTTTCAGCACCGATGACAAAGTGAAACAAAGTGTCCTATGATATTTCAGTGGTACCGACAAATCGTTTTATCTCCAGGCTCTGTAAACATTAGTTAAATGCCGGAAGACTAATTTGAATGCGTTGCTATTTCTCATGGAAGATTTACCTGTATTTGCCTTCATTTCTTGCAGTTTCTCAAGTGGTTGATCTGGAGCATAATGTCGCATTGCGGTATGGAGGATCGGGTTTTGGCGCTGCAACGCGTCTTGGACCTTTTGATGCTCTTTGAGGCTCTTGGTAACCTTCAAGGCACTCAGGAAGCTAGAGCTGCCCTCCACAGCTCACCTGTCCATCGACTCTCGGACACCTTCGATGTGAGTCCTTTCATTTGATACTGGGCACTGAAGTATGTCGCTTTGTGATGGTTCGTTCAAAATATTGGCATGAATTGCGTTGAAATACGGTGAAAATTTGGGTTGCATTGTTGAGGTTCGATGAACCCCTTTTTTTCAGTGTCCGTTGCTTTCTGTCCACACTACTGAAATTGGCCATTTTGGGATCAGTAGTTTAGTACTTGAGCCTAACGGATGCGAGTGCTCTTCTATAGCCACATTCTGCGTTGCCTTAGGTCCTTTATTATTTGCTACCTATCACCGTTATCACTATCTTTACCACTTGTCGTTCTGTGAGGTCGCTATATTTAAATTACATACTAGTATCCTCCTCCCTTCGTCATTGTCTTTCTCCACGTGCCAAAGCCGGATATTGCGGGCTTGATTTGGCCGAGAATGCGGTTTATTGTGTAGTACATTTGTGGTTACAAGGATTATGTAAATGTGGCGGACACCTCAGAAGGACTGCTGTCGTTCATGTATCATTTGGATTTGTCCAACATTTGTCAAGTCTTATTTGCTTTTGCGGTTTATTTCTTTAGCTTCTATAAAGGCACCTCCTTTGACAGGCTGAAATCACCGTATGGAAGGGTTGGACGAATGGTAGTCCGAATGGAATGAGTTGAGTGTTGAAACCGCGTACCTATGCTTTTGAGATTGATATAATCTGTTGCTCAACTAAATGCGAAAAAACGATATAGGCAATCTCTAATTTCCTTCAAAAAGCGTTGTATTGAACATCACTTTAAGGGGTTAGAGGTGTTTTGCACTACTAATTCCCCCTACCGAGTTGAATTATTTGTGATTTCTTAATAAGGTTATTTGTAACATTCCGTTTGATTTGTAACGAGAAATCGTAAATTTCGCAACATTTTTAGATCCCAATTATTCGGCTAGTCACCAAAGAACTGGGTTCCTGTGGCCTCCTAATTTCCATTACTGTGACGATAATAGTATATCTTCCCGTTTTGTGACTAAAAATGTCTTTCGATGCCACATAGCTTTGTTTTAACACACTCACCTCCAGCGTCACATATACGTGACATCGTAGTTTCCTCACCTAATGTATGGAAATGTGACACCTGACAGCAGTAAGTTGTGTTTTTTGTAATAACGGACTGCATCAAACTGTGTCATAGACGGCCCGCTTAAGCTTTACGCAATGCAAGAGATACAGGATGCGCATGGTATGAGAAGAATTACGATGTCTGCAGTTGAATCGTTCATTCTGGTAGCGCGGATGTTTGTGTCAGATTTGAACAGTGAGACGTGTGGACTGTGGCGGTCGAGTTTGCCTCTGAAACTTGTTGGCAGTAAACGTGTTGAAGCTAGTTTGACTATCTATTCAATTTCATGCGGGAAAATGCTCATATAGCGCCCCGAGTCCTTCTTGAATCCGAAAGAAGTTATAGTGCTAGTGCATAAATTGCATCTCCAGCGTACAGAAGGCCTAGGGGAGGGGTACTACCGCCACAATTCCGATGCCATGCCACCGAGCAAGGGCACCACGGCGAAGCCTCAGGTGCCTCCGTAGCTAAACAATCAACTGGGATGAACGGAGAATTTACTAACTTAGTTTACTATTTGATTTTTGAGGTGCGTTTCGGAAGTCATTGTGTCTCTGAAACTTCGACTTCAAGGTCCATATTATCAAACACCCTTCAACGGTTTGTCAGAATGGTGTTTCTTTGTAGTATTGTTCGCTCTACATGGTGATGAAGAGTTCCGCGTTCACTGATCTTTTAAATAGTCCTTATGCACTTCGCCACTAGCGCCTTTGATAATGGATACCACCGATGGGTCGCTCGTGTTACGGCGTTGATTATGGAGACTTGGAGGTCTCCTTTCCCAGGTCGATCGGATTATACCTCCAAGGAGGCCTTTCAATCCAAAACTTGGCAAACGTTTCATCCTTCATTGTGAGCTGCCATAGAGGTGAAGAAACAAAGATGTGTAATATCCATTTGATCCAAGATCGTCCCCACCGTACTGTCACGAGTTGGTTCTATTATGCATGTTTGCTAAACAGAGTCAACTTCTCCCACACCATATTATTGTTGAGATGGTTCATTTGCTTATGGGCGGATTGTATTTTACTCACGCCTAGGTGCTACTAGCTAAGTCACGCGCGCACCATCGCGTGGTGTTGGAGGCGCTGCGGCCGGCGGGCAAGCTGGAGGAAGATTTGTTGGCCTCACCGGAGGACTACATCTACGACTACCAACACCGCATGCATAGGATTGACCCACCCGCGGTGCCCTTTATCGCGGTAGGAGGGCAGACGCGTCTCATCCACTTGGAACTCAAACTTCCCGACTACCTACCTGGAGGCAGTAAAGAGGAGCCGCTGATTAATTTCTCTAAGTGTCACCAGATTGCCGATCTGAAGGAGCACTATCTCTCCTTTCAGAATATACCTTTTAATCTACAACCCGACCCTGTCATTCAGGTGAGCTTTGGCCGATTTAATTCGTGCTTTTGTTAGGCGTCACGTATGCGTGACGCATAACCAAGTCAATGTGTGCAACAGGAGAAATTCGCTGGCGTAGTAAACATTATATTCAGGTTTTGCTGATTCGTTTGGATGACTATTTTTACAGCAAATCTCGTTAAAAAAGCACCCGATTTTCACTTATCTTGAGTTTTTGAATGATGTCAGGCTGGGTGTCGTTCAGCTGTCTACCAGTAACAACAGTGTTAGAGAACTTCATTACTGCTCCTGTTTTTCAGGATTTCTTAAAAAACCTGGATCCCCACGCTCTGGCTGGCGTAAAGGATGAGGCCGAATTCGAAGACCTGATGTACCAGCAATCCTTGTGTATTCAACCTCGAGAAGGAGCTACCGTTGATCTACGCAGTTTCCCTTCTGCGGAGGGCTCCATGGTACTTGCTTCAATCAAGCCATCCTTTTAACTCACATGGGAAAAAAACAGGTTTAAATATTGTCATTTGCTACTCGGCGAATTCGCTTGGATCACCATTTACTCCTTTTCGAATGGAGAGGGCTTGATATGTCTACCCTTATTTTTCGATTCGTTATTGGCATTCGAAAAGTCAGACTTTTGACTACCACCCTTCAGAATGCACTCTACGCATTTTGGATTTTGAAGTCAACACATGATTGAATGGTTGGAGATAATGCCTTATCCTCCGTATTGCCCTAGTGATAGTTCTCTGGGCTGCAACAGATGACTATCGCCCTTTGCTGCCATTCCCAACAGAAAATTGTGCAAATCAACGTCAAATGGTATAGGCAGTTGGGAAGTTAAAATGGGGCAGAAATGGAGGTGACTCTGGCTAGATTGTTCGCTTCCATAAGGGGAACATTGACAAGCCTGTCTCTCATTGGGAATAGGTCAGATTGAAATTGTGTGTGTATTAAATGACATTTATTTTTCAACTGAAATTAGAATCATCAGTTGACAGCAACGGAGGTGCGCATTGGGAATTTGCTAAGTGCCACTCCGATCGATGTGAACATGAAGGCGACCTTCAAGGAGTTTCGTCAGCTCCTTGCAATCACCTCTCTCTCATCCGACGCCAAGTTCGACTTCTCCACCTCCGCTATGCTACCGAGTCACGCACGTGGTGGCAGTTTGGGTCGTGGACCCAAGTCTGGTAAGGCGGCATTTCCTCACTCCTCCTCACCTAAACAGTATATTGCTTCAACACTCTTGTCTTGGGATATGCTTTTGGTATAGTATCGGTCTTTCCATTTCCCCATTGTCATTATTTTTGAAAGCCCCACTTTCTGGCGCCTAAGTTATCCCTGAGAATGTTGTAAGGTCTACGAGTCTGGAAACGGCTTTGTTGCAAATGATTCGCGTAATCGTGGCTCTGTGACACTGATGTACTAGGCAAAATGTCGTTTGACTTTATAGTTATCTTTGTAACTCTTAGTATACAATCTTCCGACTCCGGCGTTGCAAGTCTTTTGGTGAATTTCAATCACCTGCAAGACGAAGACTAAGAGGATATAATGAATTTGCATCGTAGCGAAAATGTTTCCAGCTTCCTTCATGATAGTCTTCAGCATCCACATCATCCTCTTTCTGGAGTGGGTTCCCAAATATGGTTAGTACTTGAAATTGTGATTCCTCTGGGTGGCACTACAGAACTGTAAAACTCCTCCATTACTCGACCGGGTGAGTGTGCCATGCTCCTCTTTGCAGACCCTCTCTGTTCACGCGGTTACTTCCACTTTGCATTGCAAATGTGCCGCTTTAAGATGGAGCAGCTTTTTTCCCCTACCTTCCCTACAGCGCGCGACCAGCTGAGTGCATCATGTTCGGCCTCCTCGGCCGAAGGGAGCAGTCGTGTGTCACCAGCACCGCCGATAGAGACTGGCGTCCCGCCACCACTGCCACCGAAGCCCATGCTGCCACTATCGACCCCGCCACCACCGCTGCCGCCCTCGCTGCGCACCAGTCCCATGCTGGGTTCTCGTGTCTGCCGAGAGGACGGGGCAGATGCGGAGTCCGGGGTGGAGTTGGAGGGGATGGAGTTGAGCATTGGTGGAGGAGACTACCTTAAGGCTGGTGTCGCTGCCGTCGCCCCTCCCCTTCCTCCGCGTGCCAGCACTTCGTTTCCCTCAGAAAAAATGGCCGTTGGTGCTGTCGAAAATGCGCAGGGTGGGTGACCCATGTGGAGTTCGTAGTTGGCCTTTTAGCGTATTCGCTACCACCGTCGCTTGTATACAACGTCATGGTTTTCCTTTCCGACCCATGCGTCACATCTATGCATAGGACGATTGGTGTCACATTAGATCAACGGAGTATTTAGACTTTGATCCTCCATTTTCCACTGATTTCATGGTTACAATAGATTCTAATCTACTCATCAGAACCACTGTAAGGTAAAATGTCCTCTCGCTCGCTATTCTTCCAGCCCGACTTTAGAATACGTTGTCGCATTTGAGCTATTCCTCACTACGTCTCAGGGCACTCAACTTTAAAGAGGGCTTGGAGACCAAAAGCGTATTTGGGTGAGGTCCGTGTTACCGAGTTTGGAGACCAAGCTACTAGTGGTTGAGAAATTGATATCATTCGACTGAATTAAGTAAACAAAACCCTCAAATGTTTTAGAAGAGGTTGTTGAAGTATCTGTACTGCTGTACTTCGTATTGGAACTGTTGAAGATGAAAGCGGAAGTAGCGTTGGTCATGCCTGAATGTGTCGTGTGCGAAGTTCTTTCTGGGATGCAAACTCCCTTTACAGTGTAGCCTGACTTTGCACATTCTAATGTTCACTAAAGAGAACCAGTGCTCTATTAAGGACGGAGCATATCCTAGGAGTGCAAATTTTTTTTCTTATCGGTCCATGTGCTCAGTTGAATGTTTGCGTCACCCTCCTCTCTAATGTGCTGATTGCAGAGCGCCTCAAACTTTCAGCTACGTTAACGGCTAGAGTAAGTGAAGGATAGTTTGTGTACTGATTTGTGCGAACCGAAGAAGGACATCTGAACATGTCCACGTTGGGTGTCGATGTTCATGCAATAAACTTAAAGTGAAGCGAGTTGTGTATTTCAGTCTGCTGACTGAGTGATTTGTGGTGGGTACTGATTCTTGTATCCATGCGTTTGTTGAAAACGAGTAAACACGTCATCTACAAATCCTCCCTAAAACATCCCCCAACTAGAAGGTGTAAGAGAAAAACCTCCTCTCGTCTTAAGAAAGTGCCGCGATTAGTCAGTCGGTGGAGAGGCGGACAAATTAGTACTTTCACAGGATAACACAACGCAAGCATAACTAATTCGTGGAAAGACTCGCGCCTCTTTACACTTCACCCGGATCGACAGTGAGAGTAGAAGAGTGGAAAGCGGAGAGGAGGAGTGAGGTAACGTCCAAATCACCTCCTTATTCTCAGAAGCGCCTTGTTGATATACCTCCAAGATAGAAGTGATGACTAGTGCGCATTCTTGGCATTGGCAACAGACAATCACATGAATAGATGGGAAATAAGGGTGAGAGGGGAGGAAATAGAGGTGGTCTGGGTTGGGTTGTTTACTTCCACAATTGGAACACTTGATAAAAGTGGAATTGGGAAATGAGGAGATCGTGAAACATAGTGCAAACTCCCTAAGAAGCTTTCCGCAGCTTGTTCTTGAGCAAGTAGCCTTTGTAGGTTCGTAAATCTGTAAATTTATCTGATTCCAGAGGGTTTCCTCAGGTCATGTTAGGCTTACCTCAACATTGACTAGTTTTGACTGGATCTTGTGAATGGCGTCTGCACGTTTCCTTCCAGAAGTTGCTTTATTACCAACATACAGTAGTACTTGACGTTAATCCGACTTCTCTGCCACTGGGATGAAGACTGAACAAGGGACGATAGAAAAGGTGGCACAATTGACATATTACTCCTCATCATCATAGAGTTGAAAATTGTGATCAAACCATGCTTTGATGATAAATTTTGTGATTGGTGTCCTCACGGGCTTTCCTTACAGACGCGGAGTTCTCACCGCACCGCAGTGAAGAGCACTACTATTCCCGAGGCGGTATTGGTGGCGCGGCTCAAACCACGACTTCGGCGGAGCGATGGCGTTGCATCGGCGGAAGACGCGAGGCGAATTTAGTGGAGGCGTCGGTCAGTGTCAGTGTAGGCCGGCCGCCACCTCCTCCACCACCTAAACCATCGATGCATCGCACCTCCCTCCCGCCCCTCTCGGACCAAGGCGATGGTAAGAGTGATGCGTGCCTTCTCGAATCGAGCCACTTCCTATCTATCCGCCCTCATTTACAGTTTTTTACTTGATCGTTGGGGTCGGGGTAGGGGGTGTTGAAAAGGCCGGTGTTAAGGGTGCTTGTTCAAGAGTGAACTAAATTCTCCCATTAACTCGTTTATCACCACTGCCACCCATATGTGACGCGTTCCCCATCTTTCCAACAACTAGTTCAAAATGGTGTTGCGGTTGAGTTTAAGACATGAAAGAAGAAATGTACTGTCCCTGATCTTGGGATAACCAGATTTTTTGTAATTTGGGGCAGAAGTTGCATAGATCGAGCATTTGGAGTGTGGTGGTCGATCCTCCTCTGCGATTCTGGTAGCGGTTGTGCTAGTGGGTGCTGTCCTCAGTGGTGCCCTTAGCTTGCTTTCTTTCTCAAGTGATCAACAAAACCGATTATTCCCTCAAGCCCTCACCTAACAACAGTTAACACGACTATCGAACTAAGCACTCTTCACCGAAAAGTAAACCACAACCACTCTTAGTCCACCCGATCTTGGCTCCTTCCGCATCACCTGATTTGCAGTATCTATCTTTCAAGATGTCGCGCCGGAGCTACCCTCACGCACCAGTTGTCTCCCACGAAGTCAAGTCACCTCACCCACCACCGCTACAGTCCTTGGTGCCAACCCAGACTGGAATCCTCCGCCCCTGCCACCGAAAAAGCACCCCTCTTGACGACCTCCATTCCTCCGTCTCCTCCCCTCGAGTCTTTCGCTTCATCCATCTGCATTGACTGTACACTCGCATCCAATGTAAATTATGCAGGACAGGCCCCCTCCTTCCTCCCTCCCTCTATAACTTTATTCTCTATTCAGATTTAAGCGAGACTGAGAAGGAAGGCATAGGTTATGAAACAGTGAATACATTGCAATAGTACAAAAAAAAACACGTTTTGGCTTGTACATATACAGGGGTCTGCTGTGAGCAAGTGGTCGGCGGAGGCACGATACGAGGGGAGACGCGGTCACAAACCGAGGCGCTTGGCCAGGCGCTGCCGTACCGTAGTCTTGCCCCTTCGAGCTGAAATGGGGGCAGACTTGAGCATAAAGTTGTCCCGCCTTCACAATCCTCGGGGTAAAGTTGATTATCCGATGTGGAGTAGCGTTTGTCTCCATTTCAGTTATTCTTGTCAAGACTGCTTAAATTTTGTATGCGTAGGGGGGTTGAATACACACCCACCTATAAATAGCTTTCCCCGAGTTAAAAAAGGACGGCAAAACGCAATGCTCCGCATGACCTTGAACACTTAAAGTGGAATAAAAACTCCGCTGTGGGTTTTTTAGCACCAGAAATAACGCAACTTCTAAACTGTAGCCCCGCTATCAGTGCCACCTCCATGCGCGCAAAATCAATGGGAGGAATTACTCGGCTCCTGTTTTAATGTACGGAGTGAATGCCTGGACGGATTCTCGAACCTGACAATGGCTACAAGGTATCGCCTTAATTAGTAGAGGACATTGTGAAGTGATGAACCTCAATGGGCAGCGGAGCTTAAACGAACGAGATGTCAGAGCTATTGGTAGAAAAGAAAAACTATATACAGACCTTGATATCAATCATGTCAAACGATATCGAGTGACGTCAAATCAAGTCGAACTACTTCGATCAAATTCTGTCTTGACTGGTATTACCCATTGGGGATTGAGAAAACACGCATTCTATCAGTCGTACTTGGTGTCAATACTTCATTCATTTGCAGGGTCTAATACGATATAGTAAGTTAAATGCAAGGATGCTCGTTAAAAATATAAATTGAAAAGTGTAAATGCTAAAACTATGCGTTTTAGATATTGTATGGGTTAAGATTAATGAGACAATGAATTCAGTAGATAAATTTGTGTACCTGATGATGTCCTACTATCTGGTGTTTGGAGAGGGGATACGTCGGCAGCACGATTGTGGGAATGCTAGACGATTGAAAGCGAATTAACAAATTATCTGACCAGGTAACACACAACACGATAGCTTCGTGGTCTCAGATGCACAGGAGGAACACGATGAACTAATTAAATGGCGACCTACCGGAGAGTGGTGAGCTCCTCTGGGATGTGAGACGTTGTAGGGTCTTGGATAGGTCTGGGTGGAGATCATTCCCTTTCTTGGGGTGGAAGCAACGCGCCTTCTTTTGGGAAGTGCCCTGCCTTAAGGCAAATAAGGTAGCGCTAAGAGAGGACCTCTCTTGTATATCCAATACAAAATGCATCACATCACGTCCCTCTTGGTAGGTTAAGGCGGAGTGAGCTCGGTCGATCTTACGACTGCCAAGAAAGTTGTTTTCAAATCAATCAGAGCCTGTGCCTAAGGCGATTAAACCGTAATACTTCATTTGCTGAGGCAGTCATCTTTGCAGTCGACGATCCAAACCTTCTCTACCAGTACAGTACACAACTTTACCGATTCAACCTTTGTAAGGTGTTTTGCTCCCAAAAGCACACAACGTAGCAAGATCCACCCCGTTTCTATCTCACTGCTGCTTTCGAGCTGTTTACTCCGGTTGGGATACGATCGTCTAGTGTTAGTGCCGAAAAGATATGATAATCATCAACTGCAGCTCGAAGAAATATCAGGAAGGGAGCGGTGGGGGGATGAAAGAGGAAGTGCCGCCCTCCCTCTCTCTCTTGCCGGGGAATGATCCAATGATATATTTGTCCGCTTAACGACTGTTGGGATACAAAGGCACCAAAGTCATTTGTCATCACAAGTCAACTAGGCATTCAGTCATTCCCCAGACTAGGATTCTCGGCGCGTTTTTACAAAGTACACGGAAAGACCGAAAAACATCAAGTTGAAGGTATTTGGAGCTTGGTGCCATCTACTTTTAGTATGTATGTGTGTGCCACCGGCTTCCCCTTTCCAGATAATGTAAATGTAACTAATTTCTACATCATCAGTTAGGTCAACCATTATAGAGGGTTACTCTCCCCACTTTGGTCGCCAAGACTTTTAATTAATGGCGACTGGTGAATCATCGTCATCATCAGAAATAGTGTCCCTCGGAATATAACGCATCGTCATCTATTGGCACATCAACAGATTTACTGTTTGAAACCTATAATCCTGAGCGGTGCGTTCAGGTACTGCCTACTGCACCTTTTCCAAAGGCTAAATGAATGATTTGAGGGAAAACTAGTTTATGGAGCTCTGGGACAGAGGTGGGAAGGCTTCCTAAAGCGGACAAGCTCGAATCACAGCTCTCAGGATCAACCGACACCCATATAAGCAAGAATTATAAAGAGCCAGTGGAGAGCGCATTAAAGAGTGCCATACCGATAGGGTGGCGCATAACCATGCCCCCATAATGCATATAAACAATTGCATGGATTTTACAAGTACCTACAAGTTGAAAATCATGAAGCGGTAATATACCGACAAACGCACAAACTTTTGTGATCATCGAATGCTGTTCCAAACGCAAACCAACACTTCGCTAACTCAAATAATCTTTAGCTAAATGAACGCTGAAATCACCGTGGTTGTAGACGTATCTCATGGTCGTCATTTAACTTGTCCGAAATGAAGTAACATAATCTTTCTTCAAAAGGCCAAGCAAGAACGACATTTTTAAACTAAATACCACTTCTTGATAACTGTTGATTGTTTTCACTACATTTCACAACACAGGGACCTCGACTAAACCAGTAAAATCTTGACACATTTGACTATTCTGATGTTGTTATGGAGTCTATAGTCAAAACACAACTAACAAAACACAAGGTGGCCTAAATTTTGTTGATTCCTTCAACGAACTCAATACATAACTTTCAGTTTTGGATTTACCTACAAGTCGATTATCCATTTCCCAAAAGAGAATTCCAAAATGATTTAAACTAAAGCGAAGTAATTAGAGAATAGGCAGCAAAATAAATGTCCAAGGATAGGTAATTTTACCAATTCATGGAGGTTACTCATCACTTTCAAAATGGCGCAGTGATAATATTACATTTAAAAAATTTAATAAAGAAAGCGTCTTTAAATTCCTCCCTGCAATAAAACATCGACAGAAGAAACGGGATTTCAAAACTACTCCGACTCCAATTGGTTGAAGGAGGTCTTAGTGGGCACAACCAATGAGAATTTAGCTCCGTCCCGTTTCGCGGGCTCACTAACACCTTATTAGAATTTAGCGAGTTGACACAGGTCATCAAATGAAGACAACTTACTGGTCGAAGCACACCATGTGGGGTCAGGATCCTCAGCTTTTTGAGCAATTTTGGCGGCCCTTCTCCTTCGCCTCGACGCCCTCCCCTTAGGCCCAGTCTGCTCCAACTCGGCGGAGATGGGAAAAATGTCTGCAGAGGATGATAAAATTAAAAGGGAACTCGACTATCACGTCATTCATGCGTGCACCCCTCTATGAAATGCCGTGTGTTTTTTATGGTAGGGTGTGACGATGCAACAATTGTCGGGACTCGAGATGATAACTTGGCAGCTATTTCATAATGATGATACAGTGATGTGATGAAACGATGGCTGACTTGATTGCAGTGTCATCACTCCTTACCCACCCAACCTCTACGGTGCTCCACCTCAGAAAGTCTTCAAGGATGACACAGAGTACCAAATCGGTGACGGTAAGGAGCGAAGTCTGTCCAAATGAAAGACACTTCTAATTTCGTTGGCTAGATACCACGCTTGAGCACCACATCATGAAAGATGGCCGAGCCTGCAGATTACCGAAAAGAAGTCAATTCCTAGCTAGCGTTCCAATCTCAAGTTCTGCGAAATCGCCACGAATGAAGCTGGAAGGAACTTTGATGAGTCTAACTCGATCCTTACCAGCTGGATACTGCCGAGAATGTAACATCTTTCTCAAGTTGACATTTCGATAAATTCAGACAAAAGGTACAATCGTCTCGCAGAATGTGGCCAACACGTAACACCGCCCAGGTCTCAAATGAATCCTTCCTTAATAATAGTTCACCTTATAAGGAGCTTGATATTTAGAGATGCGTACTGGGTGCACCATCACCATCATCATTCCTGCCTTGCGGGTGGTTACAATCCACTAAAAGCTTCACGTTTCCCAAAATAATGCCTGTAAGAGGTGCCGGATATGGCGTAGTGAAACCATATATGCGCCACTTGATGCTGAAGAAACCATCGATTAGGAAACCATCTTAGTGTCATGGCCCACCGGCCCTTCTAAACGCTAATACTTGAACTTTTGACGATGAAATGCCTTACTACACCTTAAGGAATGATATAAGATCCCAGAGTTTAATCAAATTTCGTCCAATAAGAAGAAATACAGACTCACAGTGGTCGTCAACAAGTCTACTACTTCGAAGTTCAGGTACTGCATCAAGCACTTCGTCCATAACGCTTTCTTCCTCGTCTTCGACTTCACGACCTCGCTTGTAGGACAAAGCGCCGTATCTAGTAAAAGAAAAAAGAGTGGAACAAGCAAAGTATTAATTCGTGAAAGGGCACTTAGGCCACCATCAGAAGGAAAGTGAGCACACCGCACGGTGCCTGAGTCAGAAACTTGTGGGTCGGTGGATTCACTTTGGTCGTCCGCAGATGGAGATCTCTGTCTGGAGGTAATGCGCATAGAACGTCGGCCTCTTTTCTCTTGGTCAGGGGACGGTTTCAATAGGAATGACTGAACCAAATCCTCCAGCCTGGTTATAAGAGTGGAATAGGCGTATTGCAAGTAGGTCCTAGGGGGGAGGTGATAGTTTCGCTCGCCCTTTGGCAGCTAAAATAATCGGCAAAATAAAATACGAGAATTTATTAAATTTTGAGCTTCAGTGTGGCACAACTGTGGTTAAAATCAAGGAGCAAGAGTGTAGTTATTAATAAGGTCTAGTAGACCCACTTACGCCCTTCCTTAATTCATACCACTGACGTAGTGGTGCGACGAGAGCGTGCGCGGCCTTTAGAAGATATGCCGGGGGCTCCTGACCGGCATACAAATAATCTAAAATGGACGGATACTTGGAATTAATCTGCAGCGCGCCTGCTTCTCAATGAATCACTTGGAACATCAACAAATCCACATTTTAGTGAATACAGAAATAACAGAAAGCCAGAAAACAGCCTTGTTTTTCAGCAGAGGATAGAATGAGAGCTTACTGGTTAGTCTGCCGAGAATAACATCAGCAGCGTACCAGTGAAGTTTTTCAAAGCAGGGAAAAAGAAAGCGCTCCTCCGTCTCTTGGCTCACTTCCATGCGGTAGACACTGGGAATTGAAATACGCCATTAAATCCATCTTCAAAAGGCAAAAAACCCAGCCCATTCTAAGATACACGCACTGAAGTTGAAGAGGAATGCTGAATAGAGTGAGGAAATTGCCGCCAAATACAAGGCTGTCCACCGGTGTGTAAACAGCATGAATCCAGCCGGAAGGGAGAAGAACTGTCTCGCCAGCTTTCAAGTGAAGCCGCGCCACAGGTATTTGTGGTTCTGAGAATCAAAAAAAAGTAGTAAGAGAAGGCTGTAATGATAAAGGCAAATGTCTCTAACATAAAATTACGACTGAGAACAGTGAGGGCAATATGCTCACTTACCACGTGTATCCGGGTAGAAAACGTGGCGGTTATCGAAAAGGCCGTTCCAACTCCAATAAGCCTCCAAGTAAGGTCTGCGCGGTGGTGTCACGTAGAATATTTTCTCACCCTAAAGAGTGGACTCTTCCCAAATTAATACAAAAGGTGACTAATAATGAGCCAGCTTTGGATTTGAATCAAATTTCTGTAAAATTATGACTACTTAAAATAAGCACCTCGACAAGTAGTTTCAAGTGATATATTTTAGCAAGCCACAAATAAAAACATACTACAGGAACAAAAAACAGGGTCTAGGTACCCAGAGGACGTGATACCAGACGGAAGAGCCACCGAAATCGATGTGAAAGTCAGTGTAGGAGCCGGCCATGCTCATGAGGCAATACTTTTTGACATGCGGCTTTGCAGACGAAGTAGGACTACTAAGTTCCTCGTCCTCGTCCGAGGGTTCTGGCCAGCAGTTGTCCACCAAACTCAACTCCTTCACCACATGCGGTGGCCGAGTGCATCTACCCAGCCTATAGGGAGCACAGAAGAGGATAACTGATCATTTTTTTGTTTGCAAATTCGATCACCATCATGGAATTTAGTAGCAATGATTACTAATTATTACACAAGAGATCTGGTACAAATGAGGAGGGAAGGATCACGTTAAGGCAGATGATGACGGTTGGAATACCTTCCTATAATTTAGTCGACTGCCTGGAAAAGGACCCGCACTATGGACAGACGACTGAAAGCTCCAGGTGACCTTTATTCCAGTTGCCGACATTAACATATGAGCTGAGGTCAGTGTTGGTACCCTCAAGATAAACACAAATCTAAAATATTTGGCAAAAACATTCGCGGTAGAATAAATCTTATGTTACAATTCCGTGGCAGTAATCTCCTGTACAAATAAAGGATAGCAAGGTGTGTATACCTACAACGAATGTAATGTCACAGGTTGTGAATAAACTCGCTGTTTGGAGGGTCAAAGGTAGAATTCAGGTGATTTTGGCGAATACAAGGCAATGATATGGCAATGACATAACATCATCACAGAGATCGGATGAACTTTATTATCGTGAGGATGACCACTGTTAAAGTGATTACCGGTCTCTGCCTACTATCGTTTCAAAAACTAGTAAGCAATCCTTCACGTTGAAGAGCGATTATATGGATGTAAATAGGCTCACTTAGTCCGGGAATACTCAAAACTGAGTACGTTGAGAATTCGGTCGCGCGGCTTCGAGTAAAATTGCTCCACAAACTCCCCCAGAGATAATCGCATATCCGACTGAAGTGCTACATCGATGACGTCAATGGGGATTTTGGGATCAGTGAGATTAACCACATCGTGAAGGGTAAAGTTTGAGGGAGGAACTTTCATACGCAAACCGTCTTTATTCGAGATAACAATGGGCTTTTGGAAACCCTCATTCTCCAAATTGAACCCATTCACCTCCTCGCCAAGTTTGTAGTCGACAAAGGGTTCTGGACTGGGCGGAATAAGTATAGAAAATGAGACCACTTTTCGAATTTCATAAGGTATTTTTGTATCTTCCACTACACACAACAGACAACCCAACGAAATCCTTTTATTAAATGTTCACGTAAGCAACAGATATAACAGCTGACATTAATGACCAAAACCAGTTCCGAAACCCTACGAGGTGACTCAAAATAATGCAATAAGTGAGCGAGATTTCAAAAAAGAGGGGAATAACCTACTAATTTAAAGACAATAAAATTGATGCAACTCAGGAGAACCGAAGCAACTTACTCAAGAAACTCTCTGCCTAGCAGTTTTTCAATAAACTCAGGCGTTCCAGCTGCTGGTTCCATACAACAGGGATGAAAGCCAGATTGTACTAAATCTAAAAGTGAAGGCAGATTAGAATACTTCATTAGTTTAACTGTCCAAATTTTGAATCATGCGTTTAAAGATGCGGCTACGTTTGAGCATTTTAATACAAAGAGACCAGAATAACGAAAAAAAATGTCAGAGTAAAGCTTATAAGAAGTGAAGATGATTCGTTTGCAAAGATGGATAAAAGACTCGTGCAATTAGTATACACACCAATAACTTATGCACAAGCATTTACTGTGCTTTATCAACAAGAGTAAATACATAATTCACGATGGATATGATCGACACAAATCACCGAATGGCCGTAAACCCAAACCTAACAACCACGCCTTTTAAGCAAAGGACCCTGGGAGGGAGTGATGGAAACCACCACCATTTTGGTTTCTAGGTCACTTTGGTGTAGAAAACAATGACTGTGTAGCAGTTTCACACATTGAATTTATGGTTTTAACTGACACAATTCTCAAAGGAATCAAGGTATAAGTTTACCGCTTATTTATTGGACAGCAAATCAGCAATTTAAACTTTTTGAATGAAATGCGAAGAATCAATATGGGTTACACTATTACAAGGAAGTGCATAGAATATTGTTGGATACAGCAGTACCCCAACAATTAGGGTAAGAACAGAAACTGCATTAGACACCAAAATACTAGGTTAATTGGTGCGAAACTGCCTGCCCCTCGCCCATAGATAAATACCTCCCATTGGGAAATTTCCGAGGTCGCTGTAACTGCACTGCTTCAGGGAGAGCACGCTAGACCCCATTAGATCCGGGGGTTTCCGAGCTTTTATATCAATGCTGCGCCATCAGCTCTCCTGTTGAAAAGTGTATCGCGTAGGACCACTACTAAATAAGCGTTCGTTTGTTCCCACTTTATTGTATTCCGATGAAATGACTGAGATACTTATGCAGTATGTTAGTTGGTTGTTTAACGCTTGATTTTGGTAACGGACTCCTTAGGGGCTCCGCCATTGTATTCCCACAGGATGGCCTGACCTCAGTGCCATACCAGCAGTCCCCAAGCCCTTCTGTAGGTAGGTAATAGTATCTCCTCAAACACTAAGATCTCTTGCTTCTTGGTTACTACAATCACGCAACCACCATATCTCTTCAATACTCATCAGACCGGGTTTCACTACGAGGAATAATTTATTAAGTTAGACAATAGAAGTAAAAAATAACAGAAAATGGTAACCATTTAATGCTCCTGCCGCCTCCCTTTTCTGCCATGCCAAAGAATACAGGCACGGCACCAATAGGCGAAGCCCAAGAGAGCGATCTTGAAGAGAGGCGCAAGGAAGACCTCGAGCACAGCAATAAAGGGAGATGGGAGAGGCAGCGGGCAGTCTTGCTGAGCCCGGCTGACGCCCGCAGTGGCCCACGAGAGCGCACGCCCCGTAGCACCGAGGAGGGAGCGCCTACGGCCCAACAGCACGTCATGCATCGCGCTCGCTGCCACCGACGCCGGTGACTCCAGTCCACCCGCCTCCGATATTGCTCGCGTAGTTGCTGGCTTACCCACGTTTTCCGCCTAAACAGATGCGAAAGTCAGCAATGTGTGTGCCAGAATCACGTATGTAACGATCTGATTTCCCTGCCTGAAATCACACCACATATGCACGACGCAGTATACTAATAGGAAGTCAGTCAGAATTAAAATAAGACACAATCAGTTCAACTGGTACCACACTAGGAAAATAAAATATCTGGGCTGTGTTAGTTGACTTTCTTCAGTCACTTTTTTTCTCAGAATCGATGTTAGACAGTTTGGAAGCAATACTGAGATCAAAATGGGAGCGGCCAGACTCGGATTTCTTTGTTTATTAATACAAAATGCTTAACGAAAGCGACATAGGCAAGCTTGTGCCGCATTGGGAAAGGAGTAGTGCAGTGAATGTAACGATGATTAATTCAGCGAATCGAATTCTGTAGTCTTATTTCAAACCCAAGTTTCAGGGAAAATTGGGCTAAAAAGGCCCATTTACCAGTAGACCAGGAGTATCCGTGTCCGGTGGAAAGATGATCGTGACAGCGGGTCCCATATCCTCCAACTCCTGTTGCAAAATGTCCGCGAACGTGGTGATAGCAGCTTTGGCAGCGGCGTAAGCAGCGAAGCCGTAGATGGGCACGAGGCTGGCGAGGGAAGAGACAAAAACGATTCGGCGCTGTGAAACGCCCCGCTTGTCTCCCTTCTCTACGTCATCTGGTGAGAGCATGGCAGGCAGAAGGGCCTTGGTCACATGCACCGCACCCAAGTAGTTCAGTCGCATTAGACGATCAAAGACCTCCGGTGGGCTCGCCTCGAAGGTCTGCGCCACAGCTGCACCCGCACAATTGATGAGCACGTCTACCGTGCCAACTGAAGAAGGATGAACACTTTACGGTTGAGTTCTTTATTCAGTAGAACACTACAAGGACCTCTAAAAGCCGAATTACGTTTCAAAGAGGGGTAGGCAAGATCAAATATTCATAAGACATGCTTTTACTAAGATGGTCTCATGCAATTTTCTTGATCTTGCGAAGTAAAAACATCTCAAGTTGGCTTGATGGAGCCTGTGAGCAAAATACTCAAGCTTGATTTTGCCAGAAACTAGACGGATAAATTCAATTAAAAGCAAAAACCTTGACCACCCATAAGTTAACCCAGTCAGTACGAGCTTCACTGCAGTCCATAAATACATCCCAATTGGGCTCACCATCGTGGGTGACCACCAGACTCTGCCTAATCTCCTCATAGGGGGCAGTAATGTCAAGGGAGATGGTGCGCAGGTCGCAGGCGGTGCCGTGGGATTCGATCAGGGCGGCACGCGCCTCCGCCAGACGGGTGACGTCGCGTGCGACAAGGGTGAGGCGGGTGGGGCCACGGCGCAGCGCCTCACCAGCCAGCGCCAGCCCAATGCCTGAGGAACCGCCGGTGATGAGTACGTGGCGCCCGGACAGACTAACCTCCCGTGGCCGGCACCATATCCACCACCAAAACAAATAGACCAATACTAGGGTACCTTCAAGGTATTAGGACATTGGTCTGATCAAACACGGAAGTTAATACACGCGGCACTACATGAGAACAGCTTTCCGCTATATACGCCTATAGCCAATTCATACCACCACAACAGTAGAGGACCAGAAAAATGGCAACGATTGCACGGCTTAAAGATCGCATATCAACTTGTCTTTGATTCCAATTATGGATACGCTGTTGGCTAGGAGTGGGAGGACCTCAACGAAGATGCACGAGGAATCGGGTGTCACGAGGTTTGACTGTCAAGTTTCAGGTAAATTGAGGTGCCAGCAAAAAAGTTGCTCCAAAAATGGCACTTACTAGGTTTTCCATGTTCTGCTTAAGTAGTGGCTTTACGAGGCAAGTTCGTACTGCAATCAGAATTGGTTAATCCAAGCTGAGGTAAACTTCAATGTAATGGTTAGTCGGTTAACAGCACGTCTGATGCTTTAAGCGTCATAAAGCCACTTCGCTCATAATAAACTGCTTTCTAAAATACAGAATTTTAAGCCAGTTTAAATCTAGATCTTGTCAAAACCTAAACCTCCCGAACAGTGACCAGTTTGATTGGAACAAAAACCTTCTATTTCAAGATGAAAAAATTTAATCAACAGATTGATCGTAAAGTCTCTTTATGGTTAATTTCCACTGTTTGACGAAGCAGTAGAACAGGGGCATGCAAAAAAAGCTATTCAGTGGGCAATAAATTACTTCTACCACTAATGTCTAGAAAGAAAATATTGGAAATGATAAGGTCAGAGTGATCCCAGATCTCACATTTTACATTAAATATCAGGAAAATGAGCATAAAGTCCAAACGACAAATACCCTACCTCCAATAAGAAGAAACATTTGAGGCACACTACCTGCTTCAAACGCAAACCCTCGTTAAACGTAGTTGAGGTTGCACAGGGGTCAAGGTCAGTGAATTAAAATGTGCGTCAGAGATAAAAAATAAAACGAGACAGAAGGGGGTTACTCAACTATGCCACCATCAAATCAAAGTATAACAAAGGCTTTTAAAGACATAACATCATAAATGCGCTGATAAAATAATTGGCTCGGATGTAATTTTTGGCTTCTAATTTCACAGGGAAGGGTTCTTCCTCTACTGATAAGAATCAAGCATAATTTTGTACGCCATATCCCTCCTCCTTTCAAATCTGGATTAGTTAGAATTAAATTTGTGCATATAGATGATAATTTTTGTAGATTACCCTCACGAACTTAGCTGAAGTCATTTATTTCTTAAACTAAAGGGGTCTTAACGCACATTAATTACATTATTTGCCGGTAGAATACTCAGTAGCAGCAATCAGTAGCTTCCCGTTTTAAGCATTTTGCTAGCAGTACGACAGATTCTACTCTTCAAAAAGAACAGTATATTTATACAAGTCGCATTTGTGCAAACTTTGGATCTCCAATGCGAGTATCACATCCAAAACCTGTCGTGGTTAAGGGGCGAAGTGAGTCAGTTTTCACATACTTATCCAGATTCTGACAAATATATTTAGGTGAAAGCAATAAATAAAGGTTTGCCCTACAGTCTGTATTTTTCCTCCGAATCCCCATATTTTAGCCTTAATTAATTATTATTTGGCCCAAAGCTAGGTCCATCACATGCATTCTGTAACGAAAATAATCGGGAAGACGCTTATAGAAATGGTGAATACTTTGAAAACATAATTTACTGACTTGGGGTTTATTAAAGTTGCCAAGTATATTTACCCCCTTTTCTGACATGCTCGGCTGTGTCAGCTGCATTTCAGCTTCAATGGTAGTGAAAATTTCCTCTATTACATCACAAAGAAAGATCGGACCATTAAGCTCTCAAGTTTTGGGTATTCTCGTCAACAGCTTTTGAATAATTTATGCGACTTTCTTGTCTGAAGCAAAAGATGAAGAACAGTGACTTTTAACCCAACCATTTGGCAGAATATTCCCCAACTTTTGTGCTGAGCACCAAATAAGGAGGAATTTTATGAGCGCAGGACATTTTCCTGTCTAAACCGAGGGAGAGATTAGTTCCTTTTACCCATACAGGAGGATGAGGAACCAACATGCGGTTTGACAGCTGTTATATCCAAATGTCTGGGAGATCGCGGTCAAATACCCCGGTCAGGTCGTTTTACCCCTATTTGTGAACCAAAGCCCTCAAATTGCCAATTTGGGGCTTAGAAATAGAGGATAACTTCACTTGACTGCACTCGTTGACAGTAGCGTCCTCCAGGTGATACTACTCGGCACTAATATGCGTTTACCAAAGCAACTCGCTGCAACAAAACTACGTAAGTAAACACTTTTTGAGAAAAACAGTTTATCTGCTGTTGTCTTCGAGGGTATTTCCGCTATCGTTGACTCAAACGATAAGGAAAATTTTCCACATAGTGGATAGAATCCAAGCTAAACTGAAATCTCCTCGCTTGTCTGAGATATATCAACTGATCTGCCTACTTTTTTTAACTACTCCGAGAATCCCAACCGACAGCAACGTCACTTGAACATAAACAAGGAAACGCGTTTGCTAAATGGAGGCAAAAAATCTACGAATTAGAGCATTAGTCCTAATATATGAGGATTCAAATTTGTGGGATAATGTGTCTCCACCCACGCTCGCCTGTAGCCAATCAGATGTCGCCCTACGGACGAGGGGCAAGTAGACAGGCCCTAGAGAGCGCGCGCACATGCACGCACGCACACACGCACAGAGGCACGTTTGTCACCACACTCCCCAACAGCCCGCTGCAACTCCATTCGCAAGACCAACGTGTATTGCAGACTCATTGTTTTCCCACTTCGCCCTCATAAAAAAGGCACATTGACATCAGTAGCCTGACATGGACTAATGCGCAGTTAATATGGCGACCACAGCGAAGGACACTTTAAATGTGCCTGCTGTGATGAGCCCAAACAGATGTTCCACCCTATCTTCCGCCTCCTCAGTCCGATTGCAGACAGGACTGGTCAAAATGGACCCTGAACTGCGTTGTCCCACATGCTCCCGCTACTTCCTCAGCCCTATTCTTATGCCCTGTGGACATTCCTTGTGCACCTCCTGTGCTGTCAACGCCTTACGACCCGTCTCCGATGCTACAGTGTCTGCTGCTGTTCAGGCCGTCATCTCCGCCAATGAAGCGTCAAATGCATCACAGAAACGTCCTTCCACCGCCTTTGAGGCAATAATTCATAACGAGCCTAATCTGGAGGGCAGTAGCTCAACAGTGAGTGGTGCCAGTCATGGCGGGACGGACTCAGACCAGCAGAGTATTGTTAGTGAGGCCGATTCGGGTGTTGTGATGGCGAGTCGAGTGGGGATTTATGCTAGTCGGCTGCCAACAATCATCTGTCCCAATTTGCTTGGATTTATTCAGGTCACTCACCCCTCCACTGTATCTCAACAGGTGATTCAAAGTCTGACAAACGGTCTCGCCTGTCCTTTGTGTCACCGAATAGTCGCACTCATGGATGAAAAGGGGATTAACCATTTACCTCGGAATCGTGCTCTGGAGCGTGTACTTGCTAAATTGGTCGGAGAAGAGGCTGTGACAAGCCCTCTCCGGCTGGACAATCCCACAAGACAGGGCGTTCCAATTTGTCAACTTTGTGACGAACCAGACCCACTCAACATGGACCCACTCTCTATCGGTGGTGCACGAATCAGTGAAAGTGGATCCCAGGGTGGAACTGCAGCCACGGTTTGGTGTGAACAGTGCAGTATCTTTTACTGTGAGGAGTGTCGTGAGCGTTGTCATCCCAAACGTGGTCCCCTTCTGAAGCACGGCCTCCATCCAGCTTCCACTGGCGCTGAAATCGTCCGACAGAAGCGACAAAGCCAACCCTCCATGTGCTCCGAACATCCACATGAGCCTGCCAGTCTGTTTTGCATCGCTTGCCGCGTGGCGATTTGCAATGAGTGTGTGCTTCCCGACACCATTCAAACTACATGCATTCGGACACCCAAGTCCTATGGTCGGCATGCCCATCAGGAGGTGCAAATCCTACAGAACTACTGCAAAAATAAAAAGGTGAGTAGCTATTTCACCTCCCTTGCTAAGTTGCATTTATCTCCGCCAACTGTTTAAAGTTTTATGAAGTGAGTGACAGGTGTGAGGCGATGTTTGGGCAGGTGAAAAAAGGGTATACAAAAGAGGTCCGCGATTCGGTCCGAGTGAAAACTTTCTCACGGCAGTTTAACAGGGTAAGAGGTGGAATTGCTGCACCGACAAACCTGTCGGGGTTGTTTCACCTCCGACTCGAAGTACGCGCTACATCCATTTACCTTGTAAAGGAGCAACATCAATCAAATGGGATGCATTTTCTTGGGAGTAAATGGGTGTGTGCGCGCATGTGTGTGCTTTTTTCTTCCAAATATGTACATTAAGCGTAGTTTACCCTTTTATTCCTCCTTTTTTGATGAGATAAACAACTTTATCCGTTTTAAAGGTAGGGGAAAATAAATGCAATCGTTTTCCCCACTGAGTAAACAATTTTTTGATAGGAAGTCCTCCCCATTCTGCAAAATCTCGTGGGAAATAATAAAATATTATTTAAAAATGGTCCTTTTTAAGACCACTGCGTACGTACCGAGACAGGACGTCAATCTATCCGTGATTGACTACCTATTGTTGGACGATGTGAACGAGAGATTAGACGGCGCGGCAAAGTGCCCACAGGGGAGGGATTCAAGGCGGACAGTTTGATCTTGGTGAACCGCCCATCAACTTCCAGTGTATTGATGCATTTTGAAGGCACCAAATCACATCAAAGGAGGCGTCCTGACCACTGTCCACTGCTCTGGGTCACTTTCAAAAGGGAGTGCTTTTTTTGCGACATAAATGGAAACTCTTGAAAAAAAGTCGTAACTTGAGTTGCCTCCATTCCACACTTTATGTTACGAACGACTTACCGAATGTTCTACCTCCACTTGCAAGATGATGCTTACCGGCGACCATTTCCTTCCGACCGCCGATAAAAGCGTGTTACATGTGCCGCATCATTAAAAGCGGTAAAAAAGTTGTCATCGTGCCAAGTTGGGTGCTTTGAATTGGCCGAAATTGCCACGCAGTTGGGCGAATTCCCCACTTCCATACCGCAAACAGGAATCATGTTTATACTTTGGCTTCCGTGGAATTCATTTTTTTTGTCCTAGCAATTCGATCCGTGTAGTTGATTACAAACTGCTTTTTTGACCAAAAGGGCAGCGTTTTTCGTGAGCCTACGGTTATTAATCTCTTTAAGTATACAAATATCAGGTCAGCTTGCGTCGAGGTAGGTGGAAGCACGTTTTGCTTACTCTGTCACAAGGCTAATTTTAGGCCTTTTCTTCTACCTACCCCAGAGTGAATAGTTTATTGTCCTTGGGATGATTCTTTGGAAAAAAAGCACATAACCCGTGGCCAGTATTTAAGCGCTACAAATTCTACCCACTACAAAATCGGTAAAATGGGAGACCAAGGTGCTTAGAACAATTTTTAAGTGTTTAATTGAGGATCCGAAACTGTGTTCAGGCCTGTTTTTCAAAAAAATAGCTGCTTCCCAAAGTCATTGTACCACAATGAAGCGAGGGGAGGTAGATAGGCGGAGGAGCGTGGACTGAGGTAGGTGGATTTGTACACATCCTGAGGTACCACTGGATAGCCGCTGAAACGATCGGGGAGGAACTTCATCCAGGCAGTAGATAAGGCTAGGGCATGTGATTTACCTTCCAACGTGTGTGTGTCGGGCTTCCTAGCCGGCCGGTGGACTTTGGACCGCTAGGAAGGAGAGGTTAGCGGAGAGACGGCATGCAACGCGCCTCCAGCGATGTGACTTGGACAACTTATAGGCAAAATTTTTCCACTGGCAGAAATTGGATGTGAGTAACTAATCCCCTCGCCAAATGACCTTTTCTGCTTATTGACAAGTGGCATTAGGTACTCTCCCCGCTATGATAGGTCTTGCTGCCCACCTTAACTCTGCTTCATACAACTTTAAGTATCCCCCATTTGCTTTTCGTAACTAGGCAATGTTTGCTCATGCCCTCTGGTAAATGGCATCCCCGTTTGCCATGAATTAACGGGAGGAAAAGTGTGCCTATTTTTTCAACTACTCAAGCTAAAATTAAAAACAAGATGCGTTAGGATTTTAAGGAGGGTTGATTACACCTCTTGCGGGAGTTGAATTTTCCCGGTCTGCACAATTTGTTTTACTCTGCTTTGCCACCAGCCTTTAAAACAAGCATTATGCTTCACTTCAAATTAATTGATTTTTTTGGGGATTTAAAGTCTACCACTTCGAATTTTCACTTTTGACTATTCTTGATTCGTGGTTGGGAGGCCTCCTTCCAGATAACCGAACTGTGTGGAGAAGTAACAGACGTTCGCACCATAACTGACATCCAGTGATGAGATAACCGTTTTCCAAGGGTTAATCTGTCTGTCATACCCAACGCTTTTCTTTTCCTATTCTACTTTCCACAGTAAACAGCAGCCACCTCTCTACCACCTACTCACTGGTAAGCCCGGCTCAGAGAGAATGGCTCGGCCTGAAATTATTTGAAACCGCGGAGCATTGCCTTGCATTAGCTTAATTAGCTTTGCGTATACCTTCAAATGAAAAGAGCAGAGGTTGAAATTACCGGGAAGAGCGGAAACTTCAAACTCTTGCTAATTAAGAGGGCGAGTTAATGAATGGGGAGTGTTTGGGTAAATAAGATAAGTATGTGTTGGAAAAAGCATGGGAATTGGCGGTCTAGACATCGTTGGCGTGGAATGGGGCGTGGCGACCCTCGGCCCTGGTAGGTAATAGGTAGGCCGGGTTTGCCCACTACCCTGCTGAACCGTGAGTCTTTGGACCGCTTGGCATTAAATTCACGGACCTACATTTCTACTCTAATAAATCTTTTTAATTACCTTCAATTACACCATGACTGTGGCACTTATTCTACGCATTTATGACCACCATATTTAGACTACTTAAAGAGATTTAACATGCACATTAATTAAGTCAGGTGAAAAGGTGATAAAAGGATTTGGAGGAGGTTTTCTTCATAAAATTGCTTCCGATTGTGGCGAAAGGCGACAGTATTTGTGGCGTAGTAACTGCTTGACGTTTTTGGCGAAGTATTTGACATTTGTTTATTTTTTACGATTGAGTTCCTCCTAGCCATGGAATTTTAAAGGAGGATATTTTCGAACAATTAAGATGCATTTAGATTTTGTCGTTGAGACCAGATTGATAAATGATGTAGACTATTAGACTGCTTGTCTTTTGTTTCACTTAAGTGGGTTGTACACCATAAGTTTCCTTGACTCATTTACACTTTTTAAAAAATTAGACAGTTTGAAGGAGTGGCATGATGGAAACTGAAGGACCTAATGGTCACTAGAGCAGAAAATTTTTGTTGAATCACTAGAAGGTAACCAGAAGGCATATAATTTTTTTTATTATCACTTAGGCTTATCTTATAGGGTTATTTGCTTTTATTAACATAGTTTTATTCCAAATTTTCGGGAAAATTAATATATAATTGGTCATTCTAAAAAGGGCTTCTAATCACATAGTCAAACGCGATGCTTTTGACGAAACATCTTATCAAAATTATCACGTTTCCCCAATTTCTAAAATCATTGTGTTGTGCATATCTGTTTTATTTCTTGAAAAAAAGTTTCCTGCTTATTTGTTCGCTTCAAATTACAGACAAATTTCTTATTTCAAGTCTGTAGAAAACCAGACAATCACAGAATGTTTTTCCCTTTAATCCTAGCCTTGCGTGTTTATAAACCCGACAAGCGCTTATTTAATCGCGTTAGCCTGAATACCCCCAACATCTATTGTTCCATTCACATGGGAATCCAAAATTGTTTTGTTCAAAGGTGGAACAAAAAATAGGGCGGTCATTTTACGACCAGTGGCAGGAGTACAGTTTGGGAATGGACTAGGATTCCGTATTACCCGCTGACGTTATGACAATTAGGAAAGGAGACAGGCGTTTTAAGCCCAATGTAATTTGTTTGGCAGAAGCCAAACTGATTATTTGTGAGATTGCGTTCCTAGGCTTCATAATGCGTTGCTATAGCGATTAACAATAGGAGCATCGTAATCTGGCAAACAATTCGTCAGTCAATTTATTATGCCAAATGCAAACCTTAGGTCTGTGTACCTTAGAGGCGCCATTAGGAATATGGGTAACAAAAGAGTCCTCCTTTGAAGTCCTTCGTAAATGTTACAGGTGTTGTGAACTTCTTGAAGGGCGCAACTTTCTGGTTACATAATCAGTGTAGGGTGGTGGCTCTCAACAATCAGGGTAGTTTACTACAAAGACAATTTTTGAGGTCTGCACTTATTTTACGTCCATCAGAAGCCTTCAAAGAACTTGATTGAACTTATTAAGCCAATGTAATATCATCAAAAAAAGATTTGCACAATTTGTGTTTTGACATAAGAGGCATCTAACTACTAGCGGTATGGCATCTCTCTTCCCAGCTGTCGAAACGTCAAGAAAAGCAGCCAGAATTGCCTCTACCTTTGATTTGGAGAGATAAAGGTGATCATTTATTGTGATTAATTGAAATTCTCATGAAGGCACTCACCTTTGAGAACGTGTATACACTCATGTCGGCGAATCTGAGACATGGTTACCTCTGAACTAATTGACTATCTTGACGTCGGACAAGACAGGTGGCTATAGCCATACAAAGGAGTCCCAAATAGGTGGGTCTCTTTGGCCCCCACATTCGTCTGTAATAAGTCCCCTTCTCCGTTTCGAGACGCAAAGCGACGTTTACACCTACTTGATGCAAGTGTGTGCGTCAAAGAGGTGACTGAAGCATCTCTCCCTCCCCTGGCACCTCTACATAGCACATCATCACCCTTGTTTTAACGACAACGGTCTGAAAAGTGGTGTTGCGGTGACTGTAACTGGGACACATAAGGGATGAGTAAACCACTCTCCCCTCATTTACCTGAGATTTTGAAGCTCGGCCCTGAAAGCCCTTCTCTGACTAATGCAGGTAACCCCGGAAGCCACTTACTCCGTCGCATATAATGCAAATACGCCTTCCGCGTCGAAATTTGACGTAGTTGAGTAAAGCAATGTTGACTCTTCAGGCCAGCAATATCACGGTAGACATAAGACATGCCTCAGGTGGTCATTCACTTCATTGACAATGCCAGTGATTAAGTGAGTCAAACTTCGACAAGGATGCATTAAAACAGACACTAAGGCTAACCGAATTCCCCATCTATTCTTGTAATTCAAACCACAGAGGCATAATTAATCATGTGAAAGGCAGTGGCGTGCAATTGGAATGGTCTGGGGTAAAAGTGGTCCCGAGGCGGCAAATATCCACTGAACGGTTGCTATGGCAATCGGTATCGGGCCGCTTTCTGACTAATAGCTTAAATGTGTGACCATTGCGCCCTTAGAATAAGCACTGGACAGAAAATGTCAAAATGTGGGGAGAAAAGGCGAAATATTTACGATAAGGTGGAAGTATAGCCGCACCCTAATGTGGGAAAAGAGCACGACTTAGAAGTTCCATCCTACTCCGTACTGGTTATGTATACTGACGGAGGTCATGTACATCGAATGCAAACAGAAATTGTCCCATGGATTAATGAAACTGTCAAATCCACTTTTAGTTTACGTATCTTGAAGGAACTACGGTGAATAAAAAGGGGACTGCCTCCACCTGGGATTGGCTGGAGCATTACCTTCCACCCACAGCAACTTGAATTGGCATTGTGACAGCCTGGGGAAAAAGGAAGCTAAAGCTGGTTTTCTTTATTGCCACAACATTAGACTCACAATTGTAGAAATGTGTCAAACTTCTTAACATTAATTTGCCTTCTTTTTTATCCCCTTCCAGTTTGTACGATTTTGAGCAGGTATTGATAGCCATTGGGGACGGGGAGGGGGAGGGCGCCATCTACCAACTTTGGGCCTGAGTGGACAATAACACAATGAATTTATGCCATAAAATGCAAAGTGCAAAACAAGATTGTCAAATAACCGAAATAATGAACTTACTGAGTACTAGTTCACCTTGTATTTATTGTCCTCCGAAACACTGCCGTAACGATGGAAATTTTATGTTGTAAACTCTCGTCATTGAATAAATCACTCCTAACTTCTGAAAAGATTAATACATTGCCTGTGTTTACAAACCATTGCCTCAACTAAGAGTCCTAATTTTTTAATCTCACTTGGGTTGGGTAGCCCGATGCGATGTGCAGAAGGTGGACCAAAACCTGGTCCGTGACCATAAATAAAACAGCAGCTAGGAGGCGCTACTCACTGTGTATCAGCGCTCCCGATCTTGTCTGATATGCTTACGTACTTCCATAAAAGGCTTTTGAAATATGCATGAATTTTTTACGACACCGCAAGTTCTGTATGCACACACCGCGCCGAGCGAGTTATGTCCACAACCAGTTGCCCAATCATCACTGGGGCGCGTAACCGAGGTATCTGGAGGTGGTTGGCGTTTTCGCAACCTGCCCCATTCTCACCTGACTTTGAGAAACCTCATTTGACAACCAAATCACCCCTTTGACCTCAGTAGGCTTAAAGTTGACAAGGTCACGCATCTTGGAGTCCTACCTTGGCCTCTATTTTGATGGGTAGACTCGGAGATGTTGGACTTTGGACAGATTTCATACCATTTGGGGTGACATATTGAGTCTGATATTTTGATGAGATAGTGCAAACAAGAAACAAATCCATAAGTGTCAATTTTGGTGAATCAAATAATGATGTTTGGTAGACTTACTGCCTTAGTCTCCTCTTTCAGACCGAGCTGTCTCAGGTCCTACAAGCGTTATCGGAGAAGGCCCGAGCCGGTACACAACACATTCAACAATTGAGGACCATATCAGAAACTGTTTTGGTACGTCGATAAGGTTTTCCTTTCTCAAAGAATAACTCGCCTTAATGATGCAATTATGGGTGGAAAGCTGCAGGGTTTTTGTCAGGATAATGCTACTACTGCTCGATGCTACTTAATAGTTAAAGCAATTGTAAGCGACTGCAATTTCACCGATCTGTCTTTGCCATCACAGAGAGCTTTATCGTGACCTTTAAACAATTTTTATGTGAAAATTCCCATCTTCACAATGTTGGGTTGTAACGTGTGGACCTGCCGCTCAGACAGGGGATACGGCTAGACACAATGGACACAACATATATTATCACTTCCGTGAACCGACAGCATGTGTGATAGAGACGCCTGGCATAACTTCAGGCTTCACCAGGTAAGACGGCGTCAGCAGAATCAGTAAAAGCTAACTGAAAGGCAAATTTATGGCCATAACGTTAAATATCTCACATGCTGCACGCGTCGACCTTTCAAGCCTTTGGCTCCGAGGTAGTCACTCTCCACATGCACGGGGCAAGGGCCGCCGTGTAGACCTTGTCTCAGCCTGAAGCGAGCCATTAGTAATTCCATCCTCCTCGAGGAGCCATCGTAATTGTTCTGTGGGCAGTAACATCAGTTAATAATTTATTTCGGTTTGTTTATTCCCAGGATATAAGGGCTTACTTCGCAGGGCAATCTGATCGCCAGAATAAGAAGTCAGCCTATTGCCACCGTTTGCCCTATCTCCATAAAGCGATCTTTTACTTTTACCAAATGAACCAAAAAAAGTTATTCAGGTAGTAGGAAAGGGTCTTTTAGTCGAACAAATTCATTTAATTTCGCTTAAGAAGTGCCTTCGTGCCTAGTCCCTCTTTTATAAATAGTTAATGCGTATATATTCATTGGATCGTAAAAAAATCCCTGGCGAACTCTTACGTGATGGTCATTTAGAATTCATCCCGCCTGAATTTTACCACCCGATGGTCAGCATGGCGATGGGTTGACCGTAACTAGAAACGGAGCCTTGTGTTTGGCAGAGGCGGGCAAAGCTAGTTGACTCTCTCACTACCTGAAGAGGGCGTGAACTCTCCCAGAACGCCAACTCATTCATCCACCCACCTACTCGTTTCCCATCGGGCATGTTATACCATAGGGGAGAAAAAAGAGATACACACACACGTTCTCCCATGGGCGTTGTTTCAATATGAAGTGGGAAAATAACGAGCTAACGCCTTGAGACTAGCGTCTGCCTTCATACAGAGGCGAGAGGAAAGTAGGAAGTAGGGTGGACTCCGTAGGTCAAGGACACTCGGTTTCGTAGGCAAGGTGAATTGGAAAATCCAGCACTTCGTAACTTCCTCTAGCCGTAAGTTTATGTTTGAAAAGCACTGATTTAGAAGCCTCATTGCCCAAATGGAATTTGCGATTGTCCATTCTTTGGGTTAATCAGTACATTAGGCATACTAGTACTGATGAGTGGGTATGGCGGACCACCCAACCTCCCAAGGGGCTTAATGCACAACTTTCCCATTTTGTTGTTTAAAAATGATACACCCAGCACGGGTGGAGCATACCATTCAATTGCATTTCCTTCTAGTTCAGCTTCTTTTTTCCCCTCAAAACTTATCCTAATCAGTGCTGGGGTAAAGGTGGTTCCTCTTTGGGTGTTCCTTCTCACTGAATGGATGGTCTATTCTAATAATGCCTCACGTACTCATTAAATAGTTGTTAGAAAATCGAAAATATGACCAAATTTTAACAAATTACTTATTGTAATTCAATATTTTTTGAAAAATAGCAGTTTTTTTCACATTATGGTTTCACTACCCGATTGGAGGGACGGGAAAGTTGGATCGCTCCAACTATGGTCATAGGGGAGCCATTGGGAGTGCCTCGTGTCGCTGTTTCAGGAAATAATTATTCAAACATTTCTGAGGCAAAAATACACTGAATTTAATGTCTAATTTTGAAGTTACACCGACTGTAGCGGTTAAACTGGAAGAGTTCACGGCATGCAGGTAACTCACTGATCCGCTTCGGCGCAAAGCAAGCACCGGCTTGTAGCGTCGGCTCTACCCAGTAGGGGACACTTTATATAAACAAATTTTAACACGATAGCAGATTTTTTCCGCTGAAATGATGGATTAAATTAATCCAACACAGGGTAGATGGACAATTCATGGGCTAAAATGAGGTTTATGAGGATTTGGTGTCGCTGGGCCCCGTGGCATTCACCAGTTGTGGATTAACCAAAAGGTCGTTTATTGTAGACCTACAAAATTTGCTTTGTTTCTTCTTTCATCTCTAACATCAGCACAAAAGTGTCAAATAGTGATGCCAATGAAAGGTGATAATAGTAACTTCGAGCTCGGCGATGCAGCATCGGAGGAAGGCGGCGGATATGGATAAGGAGGAGTGGGGGTTGTAGTCCTGTCCCTCCTTCTCTCTTTCACTGCCTTGCCAATTTGAGTATAAGGTTTTGCTTTCAACTGCTTGAAATATATTACCTTCGCACTTTAAAGTTTTGTTCTAGTGGGTATATAAACCTCAGTGGTAGTTGTTACTTGGCCTCCATCAAGGGAAAGATGCCTAACAATTGTGTCT